GAACTCAATTCGAATTCACTGAAACCGAAATGAAATGCAGTTCATCATAGTCATAGTCCAGAATCATCGCTGATGATTCTGGACGTATATTTTTTTTGATTATCGCACTTGCATCTGCCATCGTATAACTTTCTGACAGAAATACCGTGCACTTCCCTAGAACAAATTATGTCATCATTCCCGATGTCTTATTTTTACATCTTTCCATGTTTACAGGCAACAGCTAGTTGGTTAATGAGTTTGAAAGGTATTTCGAAGTATGGTTCAACCAAATTTTGAGTTTTGTAAAAGTATTGAAGGAGTCAGACAAAACTCAAAGTATAAGGTGGTGAATAATTTGTTATTCATTCTGTTTCTTCTAGAAAATCCAAAATATCGAATCCTCAACATTGTTGAATGTAAATCAAATCACATATCTGCAAACAGGGATGTTACGGTTTTCATTTCCCAAAAGAGGAAGGAAATAAAGAAATAGGTGTCTGTAATGGCTAGAAAAAATTGAACTCCGTCTTCTAGTTTAGTTGAACAAATCATTTTCTTGAAGAGAATGTCACTAAATATACTCCAGTGGCTTTGCCAGATGCTCGAATATCTTTCAAAACACGTAGCATCACTGATCAGTTAAAGCAAACTTTCAAAAATCAAGATAGATTTGTTTCTTCAACAATCATTGTGGTTTTTGACAACGCTTATGAACTAGTGAAGATTTTCTTATGTCACTCAACAAATTATATTCACAACATTTGTTTTCAAATCGTAGGATCACTTCAAATAACATTATCATTATGAAGATGATAATAATATAATTAGCTAACATTTTTTCATCACTAATACCAAGAGAAAAAATTGTTGTTCTGATCGATACACTGAGAATGAAGGTACGGGATCCACTGAATTGGAAACTATTTTTAATTACCTACAACTGAAAGAGGGTATAATGAAGACTATTGAATGAATTATTTTTTCTTTTATAATCACAATATTACCAATCCTTGCCAATAATTTGGAAAATATATTGATTTCTTTGATTTTCTTCTGAGAGTCCAGTTAATCGTATTCTTATACAAATTTTTCCATAATAGGTATTGTTAATTTTCTTCCACATCGTCCAAACTTAGATTATCTGATCAAACGAAGTCCACTGTCAATTTAAAAAAAAAAAATAGCACATGGGTATTTCAAACAATTGTATGTTATGTGTAAAAATGACTCACTCAACTTCAAATTTCATCAACAGATATATTTGCTGACCTGCTGAGTTCTTTCCCTCTCTTAACCTTTTGTGTTCTCTGTGACAAATGATTTCACATTAATTCCAAACTGTGCCTTCGTATTCCGTACCGAAAAAGTTTACCCAACAAGACATCATGTGTCACGGTATCAAAAGCTTTTGCTAGATCAAAAAAAAGCCAAAGATTTCGATGATCCATCCATTATTTCTATTGTGTGTTCGATACAATCTAAAACAACGTTTTCAGTGTTCGAGTTTTGAATAAATCCAAAACGTCTGTCAGTTATAACATGGTGCCTGTAAAGAAACTCAATTAATCTTTTCTTGACCGATTGTTCATAAATTTATGCAAAATTATCTATCACAGATTCATCTATAATTCTTCATTTCGTGTCTGTTGCCAGCATTGTAAACGGGTGTAACACTTGTCTCTTTCCATTGGCTGGGTAGACCAAACTGTAATTTGTACATAACTTGGCCATTGTTATCATACCTCGAAGTACATACGACTACAACCTGAAATTGATAACGAGTTTCTGGAAAACCTTTATAAAGAGACTAGTTTCATTGGAGTATAATCGTCACTGTCGCTGATAAGTGAATTAATCTCGTAATATGTAAAGACTCTTTCATTTTACTCGATCCTGTAACCAGTGACAGCTCGTGCATTGGAGAACAGGGGGGCTAAAGTCATAAAGAACTATATACATACAGAAAAGCCCGCCGGAGGCGCGAAAATTTTTTGGGGTACTGCACCTATTTGAAGCAAAACACGTAATATTTGCATAAATGCAAACAAAAATTGTGTATTGCCGAAAATTATACGTATAAAACTGACCATTAAAAAAACAAAACAAGGAAAAAGGGTTGTCTTTGAGTTATTTAATATAAATCAACTCTTCTCAGTCAATAAATAATACTTTTCCCTTCTAATATAACAGTTTTGTTAAAAATTGCTACAAATATGTTATAAGCACAAGTACTCAATTATGCTTATAAAAACAGGTCTAAAAGTAAATTTTATTGTCCAGCAAGAACCAACGGGGAGGTGAGAGTCGTGATAAAATCGGGGGTTGCCTGTCACTTCTTTTACACACCCTTTTTTCAATTGAAAGAAGAGATATATTACTTAATCTATTTTGAGTCATCGAATTTCTACTAAAGGATTTAACTCTTTCCAATGCTGAAAAATTTCTCTCAACTGACGCTGATGTTATGGGAATTGTTACAATTAAAGATATAAGTTTATATAACTCAAGCATGCAATCTCTCAAATCATTTTTAAACATAAAATTTAATAAATCTGAAGGAGACCTGCAATTTTAAAACATTTGAGGGTCGCTGTACATTACGATTAATTCATTTTTCAGTTGAATAACATCAAAAAATGGATACTGAGCTATTAAGTCGTTATAAAGTTCTTGGGGAAAATCTTTGGTAAAGAACGAAAATATTTCAAACAACAACAAATCAAAGTAGTTTAATTTAAGTAAATCTAACTTTGATTTGCATTGAAAAGATGTCCAATATTTCATTATAAACCTGTTTATAATTTTGTCTCAAATCGTATAAGTCTAAATTGGTTTCTCTTTTTTTCGGCGCCGACGGTTCGAGACCTCGTTGAGAAAATCTCCCAATTCCTTGACAACAAGGAGACTGCGGTTGCTGTATTTCTTGATATCGAAGGAGCATTTGACAATGCACTACCTAAATCTATAGGAATGTCTCTGGCTAGAAAGGTTATAGAATCGACCTTAACTTGTTGGATTTTTGCCATGCTAGTAAACAGAACTGCAACTATGACTCTTCAAGGCGAGGCTATCAGGTTCAAAGTCACCAGGGGCTGCCCTCAAGGTGGGTTACTATCCCCCCTTTTTAGTCGCTCCTGGTGGATAGTCTGCTTGATGCCCTCGACAGAAGAAAAGTTGATCTGCAAGCTTATGCATATGACCTTGTCATCCTGGCAAGGTCCACGTCGGGAAGGGTAGCTTGTAATATCCTCCAAAGAAACTTGGACTGTCGGAAGACAGTGTGTGTCGCCTGTGTCTGGAAAATGATGAAACTGCAGAGCATATACTTTGTGCCTGCCCCGCTGGGGACCGAATCAGGTTCTTTGAGTTCGGCAGATCCGTACTCTCACCATCTGACCTGAAAGACCACTCACCATACAAACTAATCGGCTTCGTTAAGGGGCTGGGTTTATTTGGCCGAGTGAGCCACAATAAAACCTTATGGGTTGCGGTGGAGGGTCGAATAGACCCACTTACCTTAGACCTATCTTCCTACCTACTCCCTTCAAGGGGCTGTATCTTAACAAGGGATGCTCGAAAGAAGTTTCTTTATATGAAAGATCCTATCTTTTTTTCGAATAGGAATCACCTCCTTAAATGTTTTACACTTATTCAATTACACCCTCTATAGGATGAAATTGCAGTAACGTTAGTTACAAATNCACAGTTACGAAAGGGTGGACTGATGGTTCGAGAATGTGTACGCCTAACATGCCTGCAAACAAAGGATCGCGACTAATAATTGTGCATTGCGAAGGAAGTAAAGAATAGATTCTGAATTCATTGAAATTATGTGGAAATAAACTTGAGGAATGCAATGTTGAGTATCATAAGAACATGTAAGATAATATTTTCGAGGAATGGTTTGAAAACACATTAATCCCAAATTTAGTTGCGAATAGTACCTATATGTAATAGTTCTTGACAACGCTTTCTATCATTCGCGACAGCTCATCATAGTACCGAATAAAAATTGGAGGAAAGATGAAATACAAAGTTTTTTAATGGATAAAAATTTGTATTTTGAAGATTACTATACCATGAACCAACAACTTGAAGTTTTACAGACAAAAACATTTGAAAAAGTGTATGCCCCTGCTGAAAAGTATGCAAACACCATACTGAGACTTCCCCCCTGTTTTTGTGTTTTCAATCCCATCGAGTTGATTTGGGGAAAATTGAAACAAAGCATCAGGCGTAAAAATAATTTTCCCGTTTTGGTCTACAGTATACAATGCTCGGACTGCAACAAATTCTATATCGGCCAAACCAAGAAAAAACTGATCCAAAGGTAGAATGAGCACAAAAAGGCATACATAAATCCAATAGTATATAAATCAAATCTCGCAACACACGCCATACAAAACAAACATAATTTCCCCCCACCAGAGAGGCTGTACCTAATGTGCCAATGATTTTACAGAATCAAGCTTCACGCTTCGAATGATAAAGCAATATGACCATGTAAAAAGGGAAAATTCCAAAAAAGTTGATTCAGCAGATGTACTCTCTTGAAGGTGGAAAAGCTAGTTATAAATTAATAATTTTGAAATCTGCTCTTTCATTCATAAGAATTACTCGTGACTAATTACGTTCATTATAGAGAATGACAATTGTCTCACATGATCAAACGGGGTTTGACAAAGATGTCATAGAATTTGTTATCTAAGTCCGAATATTGTCTTTGAATAAAGTGATTTATTCCAAAATGATTTAGGATCCATATAAAAAATGTCACCTATATCACATTTATAATGGTCAAGTTGTTATCCTGGTATTGGTGACTGAAGTGGTCTTATTTGAATTCGTTCATGTGATAAATTGTTTCCACATGTATTCAAGTGAAAAGGTGTGTTTTTGTTTTCTTAAGGAACGTCTCTTATGTAATAACGCAGACAGCAATGACCATCTTCATGATTTCGACGTATTTCATAATGTTTTCAAGTTCATTTAGATATAATAAATGTCCAATGCATTTTTAGATAACCAAACATATAGTGGGAGTAAAAGTAATTGAAATATAAATAACTCTTGTTAACTCTCAACAGTAGTTATTACTCGAATTATCCACCGACAAAATGAAACTGGTATGTATTTTCCATCATTTGAAACATCGACAATAAGTATTTTCTTTTTTTTTTTCTTATTGGTTCCGCCGTAACTTGATGAAGATCCATAGTAATTTCATAAACTACACCTCACGACTTGATCTTCACAAAATAAGTTTGTGAAAATAAGTATTTTCAAAAGTGCAGTTTATTAAATTATTACTCATAACTGTTGAATGTTAATCTTGTTGTATTGAGTTCTACACTGAACTAGTGTGACTCAAATTTGCACAGTTTTTGGGCTGAAGTAGAATTATGTTAATATTTTCACTGAGAATTTTCTTTGGTATATCAACAGATTACAGTTATCGTGATTTCAACAACATTAACTGGCCTATGTATTAACAATTTTATAAATTTTCTTTCTATTCTGGATTAAACAATGTTGTAATAAAGGAAAACAGGGATAATACTCAAAACAGTGGTATGTATATAAGACAAATCTGGTGATTTTTTCAGATAGTATAGATACATCCATATTTGGCATTAATGCCATTCCTTTATCATTCTTCAATAAATATTTTCATGTCATAATACCTATTTTCTATAAGTATAGATCTTATTGAATAATAGATTTAATAGTTATATGAAATAATCAATATTCATTGAGAATATTTCCTCAGAAATATTCTCAATTAATATTGTTTATTTGATTTGAATTTTCTCAAGCTCACTGACACTATCTCCATTTTCATTGGAGACTAGCTACAATATCACTACTGACAATTAATGTGGTAATTACACTGAGTAAATTGTTTTCATAAAATTTATTTTGAGGAAATTTCAAGCAGGTTTCACATTGAATAATATTCTATCACAGCAACAATGATTGAAACGAAAAAGGCAAAAAACAACGGATGAACTTAAAGCAGAAAGCAACAGTAACTGTTTAATGCATCATCGTATATCAAACTCAAACATGCATAGTAATGTACAATTTTGTTCGGTTAAAAAGGCAGTTGCCGCTGACAAGTCGATGCCATAGACACCGAAAAAACACTAAAAAATGTCAAATAATTTCAAAATGAGAACCAACAGAACCAATAAGGCATTTCATGGAATATTTCAATTTTCAGATAATAGTAGCTTTCATCATTTCCTCCATCTCGTGTGCTCCAACCCCTGAAGTACAACCAACCGTCCAACCAATTGCAATTTTAAAATTTGAAAATGAAGGTGTGAATGCAGATGGATCTTATCAATGGAAGTGAGTATCATATTTTTTCAAATTCAGATGTTTCTCCGACACAAGCAAAATTCTACCCGATTTTATTAAGGTGTATCAGTCATAGAATAAATGAAAACTGTCCAAGGTTATTGAGATCGTTACATTAGATTTGAGAATGCTTTCAAAAGTCTGGAAACAGCAAAGTGTCAATTTCTGAAATTGAAAACTTTTCAGTTAATGAATGAGTGGCCCATTTTTTTTTTATTATTATTATTATTATTCGTTTTACTCATCCTCATCATATCTTCTTTATCAAGTGAAAAATCTCGATAATAATTTACAGGAAGTCAAATAACTTTTTTGAATATATGTACTATTTTCAGTTCTCTGATATATGAATAGTGATGAAGATCCCACGCCTATTGCTAACCTTTTTATGAATTACTCTGTCCAAGTTTGAGACAACTTTCACGAAAAAATTACCTGCAAATTTCTTCCCGAAATTATTGATGTGTATCGGAAAAGTGTAAGATAGATCGGAAAGTGAAAGTGTTAGGTATAAATTGAGTTTAAAAGTTAGGGACCAGTTTTCTTTATCTCCTGAAGACGCCAACTTGGTTGGTAAAACGCGCTTCAAGAAAAGTATTGCATTTCTGGTGACTGGGAAAAGTGCTTGTTTTGGATTTGTTTGTTTTGATACAAATATTAAATCTATTAAATTTTCATTATACTCAATTTTTCAATGTTTTGATAAAGTTTTCTGTATATTTCGATAATGTCAATATCTGCTGAAAAATTACATCGTTTCAAATCAATCAAGAATAAAAATAAGAAGAACAAAATGTTGGTAACTTTAGTTTCTAATACATCACAAATCTGACTTTCAGTTACGAAACTGCCAACGGTATTATCGCACAAGAGAAAGGGCAGGTGAAAGCTGGTGAAAACCCAGAGGAAATAGAACTAGAAGTTTCTGGATCTTACGAGTACACTAACGAAGATGGGTCGAAAGTTCAGATTTCCTATATTGCCAATAAAGATGGGTACCAACCACAAGGAGATGTCTTGCCCACTACACCAGCAATTCCTCCAGCAATCGTTAAGGCTTTGGAATATAACGCTGCCCATCCAGAGGAAGAACAGCAGCAGAAATGATACACATACATTGAATATTAAGTTTTTTCCTGAAGTTGTGAATACAAGTTTTGATGTATACTTGTGTCTTTTTTTCCACATATTATCATGAAACATTAACGTATGTGATGAATACGAAAATGAAAGAAATTAAAATCATACTGTTAATTAGAGAAGTGATGCACACACAATGAAAATAATTTCTTAATACCATCAAAATTATTTCATAGCAGTTAACAAATTTCGAAGAGGCGAGACACTTTTTTTTTTGGTGGCATGAGGGGTACATTAGCAGTAAGAGCAGTTCTATTTCAGTACTATTTTAGTAAGATATCAATCATTCCAAAAATGATACACCACTCACTTCTTGTCACCAAATTCAGAATATGATAAAAAATGAGACGAATTTATCATTAGAAATGTATATTTATTTCACTAGGATAAAACATCCAGAAACTTTCTCACATATGGAAACTAGCATATGAGTGTTTTATCTTTGTTTGAATAGTTTCTTCGATCTTGTCACTGAAAATGTGTGTTATATGGAAATGTACATACTAAAGTTCTCGTTTCACATATACATAAAATATGATTTTATGATGATAACAACTCTATTACATTTGAAAGGGTTATATTTTTATGAGTGATTAATTTTTTGGGAAAGAAAGTTTTTGGCTTTCTACTACTCCATCTGATACAAAAAAATGGATGAGAGAATCTTCCAAACTCTATTACCTTTTGAATAAAATTAAACCATCAAAATTGGGATATATGTGTTTTGATGTATACTTGTGTCAATTATTTTATTATATATTTGATATAGATACGCATGTAGGCGCTATTGTATAGTAAAATACGTGTTGTGTTTTTGCAAAACTGATTAGTGAAAATCTCACAATAAAGTGTTTTTTGAATAAATCAAGACTAAGATAAAATATTCAATACTCCATAACAGTGAAAAAGTTATAAAATCTCAGATAAAATACTATGAAATAATAAAAATCTCAACTGTAGATTCAAGCTCTCACGGCCCGCAGTCAAATGGCAACTATGGTTTGGTGACAATGATGAAATTGACTCCAAAAGTTTCGCCCATTAATGTGACTGGCATTTTCAGTCATAGTTGAGATCAAAGCATCACGACCTCCTAGTTGGTAGACTCTTCAATCACTCACTACATATTGTAAAACTGAGTCCACCTGCCGCGTCTGTCCGTCTGTTTATTTGTTGGTCTGTCTGTCTGAGGCTATGAACAAAATGAACTCAAATTCAAACAAACATATTCCCATAAGATTTTCACCAATGGACGTAGTGAGGTAGAGGAAGGTTTATACGTATGATTCATTGATGTTTTGTGTAAATTGGTTCAAATATGAGAATGTTTTCCGTGGAAAGTCTAGGCGAAGAAGCAACCTATGCGGAAACAGAAAACTCCCATCGAAAACGTCAACAAGAGTAATTTTGGTTGCTCGAAACAAATGGTAAGACTAATCGAATCTTTTCTAGCAGATCGACGATGCCGTTGCAAAGTAGGACACGAACTCTCTACCATACGACTTCTGAGAGCAGGAATCCCACAAGGTGCAGTTCTTTCTCCACACCTCTTTTCTGTATATACAGCAGACATGCCCAAGCCAGAGAACAACTCCAACAAGTTGGCACTCTACGCGAATAACACAGGTCTACAGGCGATATCCACCAGCTATGCGCAAATCACCAGATATTCGCAGCAGCAAGCGGTCCTATTAGAGAAATGGGCTAACTTTTGGAAAATCAGTATAAACCCTGACAAGAGTCAGGCGATACTGTTCACCCGGAGACTGGTACACCCGAAAGGAAACGTTGTCTTCAACGGACAAGAGATTCCGTGGATCAACGAAGCAAGATACCTGGGAGTCACCCTCGGCAGGAGACTGACGTTCAAGTCCCACATACGACAGAGACTAAGGCTGGCGAAAGCCGCCCGACAAAACGTATACCCAATCATAGGCCGCAGGATTAACATGAATCTCCATGTGAAACTGTTTCTCATCAAGACCGTGCTACTTCCCATTATTCTGTACGCCTCCACTGCCTGGGTCCAGGCTGCAGCGACATACAGACGCAGTATCAGACGTTCATGAACGCTTGTTAACTAACTGTTGTTAACGCTCCAAGATAGATGCCTAATAGATTCAGCTATCGGAACCTGGACGTATTCGAGAGAATAAGAACACACGCCAGTCCAGCGCTGCGTGACCTACATGAATCGCTCGACAGGGACGACCTCATATTTCGCGAAAGGGATAATCACATGTGGCCCACGAAGCAGAACCAACGACCACTTATTAAAACTTGTATACCGATTACCAATACACACTTTCTTACAGATATATACAGACAAACATAGGTCGCGACCAAAAGACACTTATCTCCGGTAAGGTTGAGGGGACCCCCATGCATACATTACATTTAGTGAAAGCACGACAAATGAAATCAATAGATCACAAAAGTGAAAGTACCTGAAGGCTGTCTTTCAACCGCAGGAGGTCAGATGTCAATCTTGCTGAAGTAGCCATCAGCAGAAGCATCCACCCCCACTCAGGGATGAGTGGGTGTGGATGGACGAGATTCTAGCTTCTGCACACAGAAACCGTGTGGGGAAGATTATATCTCATGTCACTCAACCCTGGGGGCATGGGGGGAGAAGGGGCAGCCTGTGCGAAGACAGAGAACTTCCATCGAAAACGCTGACTTTACAGTTTGAAAAATTGTCACATTCAATGAAATAAATGGAAAGGCAGATATTAATTTTCCACAAACTGAATGAATTAGGTACTCACATGCATTTTAATTCCACCATTAAAATTCAATGAACATTTTAGGATTTATCGCAAAAATATTGCGCGACCAAATGAATGCAAGTGGCCTCACACACCGATGCGGAACGCTTGATAAAGAAAGGTTGCAATTGCATTGATTTTGTTTCATGTTGTCTTCAAGTGGGAACTCACCTAATTCGAATTAAAATTGATAGCTGTGAACATACTTACGCGACTCTATTAATGAAGAAAAATTTTGGAAATTTCCAAATAAAGAAATAAAAAAAATAACCACAATGTGCATGTACAGAAGTTCCTTTCAGATACAAACTGGAACAAACTTTCGAAATCACACGAAAGAATTATTTTAGAAACAACTACTTATGTTTGAAAATTAAATTACCCAAAAATTACTTTCTCCGATTCAGTTTTCACTACAAACATTCGTTATGGGGTTTAAACAGATACCATTCATGGAAACGCTACCCAATCTATCTTTCTATCTATATTTGTAAATGCGAAAGTAACTCACTTAACACTCATTCATTCATGTCTGTTTCTCCGTACTGGTGAGTCCTAGGAAGCTAAAATTTGGTACATAGGTGCTTCTTAAGTACTAGATGCACACTAAGAAAGGATTTCCCAAAGTTTCTGCTGGGGCGCCACACGCAGGGAAAAAAAGACGCGTTTACATATGAAAATTACCTTTTCATCACTGTTTCCCGGTTCGTTTTATGTTGTAGATATGCAATAAGAAACAATTTTCAAATATTCCATCTGGAGCGCCAGCCGCGGGAAAAAGGCGTTCATGAAATAAAATTATTTTTCATCGCTGTTACTGTTTCTCAGTACCAGTATATTTTAGGAAGCTGGAATTCTGTATGTAGCTTCGTTTTATGTTGTAGATGTGCAATAGAAAAGGATTCTCAAATATTCCAACTGGGGTGAGAGCCGCGGGAGAAAAGCTCGTTCATAAAATAAAGTTATTTTTCATCACCATAAAACCAAATTTACTTTTAATCACTATTTCTCCATGCCAGGGGCTAACTATAAAATTGTCACTGACCACATAAAAATTAAGTTCATCAGATATCAGTTTTTGCTAGAGGTGTATGTGACGGAATCAGTCAGTTAAGTTTTGAGACAAACGAACAGTAACAAATCAGATTCTCTCCGGAATTGAGTCGAAAGTGAGGAGCGTATACGCTTGGTCAGAAACAGAATTTAAAATATGGTGTTACAGGTCTAGAAATTGTCAGAAAATCTCATAAAGTAGCACATCAAAGTCGAAGTAATTCTCAATTGTATACAGCAGCCATGATTTTCTTGACTGGACAACAGATTACATGTATATGTCTATACTTGATTTTTCTCCGCATCAAAAAGCAATCTTTGTCACATTCCAAGAACAAACACATTAATTGATAACAGTGTTATGACGAAAATTATGTAGTTCTGGCTAGGAATGCTCTCGTGAAGAAACCGGCAAATTCTCAGAAGTAAGTTGAATGAATTGTGTGATTTGCAAATAATATTGTTCGTTCTCAAATATTAAAAAATGTAGTTATATATTTTCATTGACATCATCAGATATTTTTCAATATAAATTCAGCTGCTCACTGTGGAACAAAAACAAATAATTTACTCAATAATAAAAATTACAAAATAATTCGTCGAAAACAAAGAGAAATCAAGCGAACCTGCACTTCATTGAATTCTTTGAAAATTATTCGTGGTAATGACATAATTCGTGTCAATCATTATGTGAAGATGCACAAATCTTGTTTACTTAAATAATTAGTACTAATTCATAAATCAATAATAAATAATGAATGAAAGTGTTGCCTTCACTACTTCTCTGGTATTACGTTCTATTTGTTGATATTTTTAACGATATTTGACAACAATTCCTTTTATGAAAAACACAATATTTGAGCTCTTCAACTTTAGTGGGGAATATTTTGTAATTGATCGTATAAATACTTTGGATCGAGAACTGCATTTTAGTAGTTACCAACAAGTGTTCATAATGAATCTGGTGAGTTTTTGGTGATTTAAGTCAACTAAATTTGAAAATGAAGAAGGTGTCAATGCTCGGAAAGCATTTTCAACTTGATGTGAAATACAAGTGAGCATCATGAGCACTGAAAGTTTCGTATCTAACTTCTAACGCTCAGTGGTCATTCGCAATATTGTATTTGCAATATATTATATAATGAATGGTGAATCTTTTTGACCAAACACTGTTCATTAATACATGATCTGTATAAAACACAACCAATGAAGGAATTCATCAAATATTCTGAACGAAAACAAAAAATTAATTAATGAAATTTTATTCAGAATTAACATGGTTGTTTATATAATAATCAACAAGTCTGATATAATTCAAAACTTGACGATGATTAAATTGAAAGATTTATATTTTTAAGAGTGACTAGCTTTTAGGAAAGACAGTTTTTGACTTTCTACTACTCAATCTTGATACAAAAAAATGTCGGAATCTTCCAAAGAAAGAAAGGAAGCAATCACATAGATACAACCTGAATAGAGAAAAATGTTTTTGTATAATTCAGTGTTCACATAAAATAATTTGTTTCGAAAGAATTTTTCTATCATGTAATTCAATGTTTATATGAAAGTAGCTGTTTCAGGAGGGCTTTTTCTTTCAGTTTGTATCTGGAAGTTACTTCTTTGCATGATCTATGTATAGAGTTATTTCTTTTAAAATTGATTGCTTCCTTCCTTTCTTTGGAAGATTCCCAAATTTTTTATATCAACATGGAATACTAGAAAGCCAAAAACTTTCATTCCCTAAAAATTGACGCTGATATTTTAGTCAAATTCAAACCTACGGAGTTCATGCAAATAAATGTCTCTAAAATTTAATAAAAAATTGACGCTGATATTTTAGTCAAATTCAAACCTACGGAGTTTATGCAAATAAATGTCCCTAAAATTTAATGTCCATATGTCAATATTCAAAAGAGTGTTGACATTCTGGTCTTATCATTCAAAAGATTAATTTGGAACACCGTTATAATGAAAATAGAATTCCCCACTGCAGAGTATTATTGTACAGTCCGTTTTTTTTATTCTGTTAGTGCTGGTAGTTCATGTACATGGAATCATCAGAGATGTATCAAATTGCAATAAATACTTCATCGGTTGCTAAAATATGATTTCACTGGAGTTCTATCCCAAAACCAAACCGTTATTTTCAACACCTCGACACGTGTTTCAATCACCAAGTGATCATCTTCAAAAAAAGATTAAATTTTAATCTTTCTCTTCAAAATGATCACTTGGTGCTTATCTTGAAGAGAATTGAAAATCAATTCAATATTGATTTTCAATTGGGCTGAAGAGTGAGCAAGATTTATATTTCCAAACACTTGCAATCCTACCAGTCGTAGAGATTATTTTATAGTAAGAATATATTCATTGAAAATTTCTCAGAGATTTGAGTAGAGCTCTGAAACTGAAAAACCGGCCGAATCAACATAAAATGCACCTTCAGGTTATTTCACAACGCTGGCATATCTCACGCTCTAATACTTGCACCGACTATGATTCTATGTACTTTACAAATAAAGCAATTTGCCATCCAATTCAAAGCCTTGTCATCATTGACCACTTCAGTGAAACGAAGATGATGAAGTGAATTTACTGGAGTTTTATCCCAACACCAAACCGTTATTTTTAACATCACGACAAGTGTTTCAATCACCAAATGATCATCTTCAAGAAAAAGATTAAACTAAAGATGAACACTTGGTGATTGAAATTGTTGAGATGTTAAAAATAACGGTTTGGTGTTGGGTTAAAACTCCAGTAATATTCATTACTACACCAAAGGTTCCAAAAATGCATTACATGATTAAGTGAACCTTATCAATGAAGATTTTACAAGATTTGCAAAATATTGTTACATAGAATGAATATTGAGATATTACCAGATTACTTTTTATCCTGAGTTATTATTATTCACATGCTGATAGTCACGACCAACAGTTTCTTTCAGATTATGAGAAAGAAACAAGGACGTAAAAAGGTACCCTCCCTTTTTTACTAGACCAGATATCAAGGTCGAACGATATTTACATAACGAGATATCATTTTCAGTACTTTTCGTTGGAAATATAGCAGTGTGTGTGATAGATTTTCCAATTTATTATTCAATACTTATTTACTTTCGAAAATCGGACCAGCCGTTCCTGAGAAATTGGTAGTTTTAGTTTTTTTATGAATCTGCAAGTAAACTACAACTAAGTATTAAAATTTCGATAAAAAAGTTATTCAAAACTCACTTCAGAGTATCCCACTATCCACTTACTAGAAATATGAAATCTGAAGTTTGAAATATCGGTTATATTAGACTTTTCACGTATGCTGCAAGGACAGGTATTTGGGAGACAGGTAATTGGGCGAACCAAGATGCCAACTTTTAAAATTCCACTCTGAAAATTATAGGGGTTGATAAACTCAAATTCAAAAGAGGAGACCTACATAAATCGAGTTGCTCATTTAGGGGTATATGTTTATTTCTGATATTCGGGAATTGAGTCTTCTGTCAATCCCATTGATTGCGTCTTCGTAGGAAATACCGGTGCCTCTAATTGTTCACATGGCGTTGATTGAATGAGTGGGAGGAACCAATCACGATATCCAACGTGTGTGCATCCTCTATGCAGTTTTTTTGGTAGAATACGTTGTTGACAAGGAAACAGAAAGTAAGGATCATATTATGAAAGAAAAATCAAAAGAACATCCAAATAATCATCTCAAACGCACTCTGCCTCGCACTCACATCTAGGTACAGTTTACTTTTGATTTTGTCTGGTCAGGAGTCTTGGCAATTACATTTGAGCTCAACTCTCACCTTCTTCGACTCAAGTACTATTAGTAATTGAAAAATAAAAATCTTACTGAATACGGTGGGGCAAGCAAAATATATGAATTTGTTAAGAAGAAAATGTGAAGTTTTCGTATTGACTGTGCTGTTCTGACCCTACCTAATTATTGTTGTTATTCCTTCTGAAAAATCACAGTTTAATATTGCAATACCTTCTATTATCACCTCATCATGAAACAAACCAAAAGCTGCATTTGATGTATCTCTTTTATTATATAGTTATTATATTCCTTTCGAAACAGAATGAAGTTGTCATTGCATAATTTATTTGATTCAACTGCGTGCGTTTGTTGGTTATTTTCTATATAGGTTAATTGAATGGTAGTATCTACGAGTATACAGCAGAATGACACTGCTCAATAACTTCGCAGTATAACTTGTTGCAGTATAACTTCGTTATACTGCAACACAAATTCGTCATACATATCAGAGTGTAACGCGAATTCGGAATTGTATATTATCTTTCATAATATTTTTTCTTCAATATTGAATAACTCAATTCACTAGTTGGTCAAATTCATTATTGGAAATGAGAAATTGAATCAAAATCAATTATTTATTTTCTGAAACTGAATAGAAACAGTGTTTGTTCTAACTCATATTACCCTTGATATTTTATGAAATGAAGATTCTTCACTCATGGTCTTGATATTTTTGCAGGTACTTGGCTTACTGGCAATCATCACCATCTCATTTGCTGAAGAGCAGCCTCTTCAGCAACAAAATCCGAATGAGCCGATCGCTATAGTGAAATATGAAAACGTGGGAGTTAATGAGGATGGATCATATCAATGGAGGTACATTGTCATAAGATTCAAAAAGCGAAAGTAAAATTGAAGTAAATTTTCCAGCCACTGATTATTTAAAGTTTGGCCTTTTTCGAAGATCTATAACTGGCACAAAATAAATATAAAATTTACCCCAGATATTTTCATAAGTTCATTTCTTTAAATTTGTTGACTGCCTGTTTTCAAGCATAGCCCACTGACTAATAAGAAAATTTTTCTATTCAAAGGAATCGAGCAAATTTCGGATATGCAGTTTGTTAGTACCTCGTCCACTAGATGGAGTGACATTTTGTTGTTCGTTCCAAATTAGGACAAAAAATGAAATACTCTGAAAGAATTTCGATTTTCAATTATGGATTATCATTGACTTTAGGTTGATGATGACCACTATCTTGCACTGACGTGTGCCTAATGTGCCCGAAACCGGTCTGCCAGTGTGCCCGTTCCAAAATTGGAAGTCGACTCTTTCAATTGTATTGCCAGTTGCATTTACAGGAAATTTTCTGTGAAGATTCCTGCACTGACGCCTGTCGGATGTAATCCAACGCCGTTCGTTGTATTAGCCAGGGGAGTAGTTGTTTTCTGATAGGCGTCAGTTCATTCAACCTACTGTTCAGGTATATCCGGGACTGGCTTGAATATTCAAAGTTCATTTCTTTAGATTTGTTCCAAAAATAGTTATCACTGAAAGTTTATATTACATACAGATTTGTCATCAGCGAACAGATGTGTTAGCTGGGTTAAGAAAAATTAAATAATCTGTATGGAATATAAAATAAATCACCTAGTGTGTAGCTGTTCATGCAGTAAAACCTAATTCTTCAAAGATCGTAAAATACCCCTTCAATACCATTCAATAGCCTTCTTAGTATCATCATTTGATACTGAGGAAAAATGGATGAAAAAATTCCAACTATTTCATTTCAGCTATGAAACAGCAAACGGAATATCAGCTCAAGAAGAAGGGCATTTGAAAAAATCAAATTCAGAAGAGGAAGGTACCCAAGAGGTATCTGGATCTTTTCAATATACAGCAAATGATGGAACTCCTATCAAACTGACATATACAGCCAATGAAAATGGATTCCAACCTGAAGGAGAACACTTACCAACAGCACCTCCAGTTCCACCAGCAATCCAGAGATCACTAGATTTTATAGCAGCTAATCCCCCGGTTGGTGGTGCAGAAGCAAATGAAACTGGAAAGTAGATCAACAACGGTAATGAGTTTGGGAGAATAGAAATGTGATTAGTAGATTAGGTTTTGATTTCAAAATAATGTTTTATTGGATTCTGTACAATTATGCACTTTCATATGAGTTGAATTCAGATTGTTATTTTTTCATGTTTTCAGACCGTAGTAATTCTGAAAAAAGGTTCCCTCTAATACTTCATGATTACTTTAAGCAGTGCTGTCAAACGTATCAATATGAATTATATGATATTATACATTTTTCTGTGAAGTAATAATAAAAACGTATTGTTATACAAGGTGTTTCTTTATAACATGGTAATATTTGAGGAACAGAATAAGTATAACTCTAATTTATAATTTGTTTTCAAGCGAAGTGTCATGATGCCACTGAGCTACCTCACATTAAATCTGAATGCCGTTGGTTCAAATCGTCTCATCTGTGTCAATTTTTATTCGAAACATGAGTTACTGTATATACTTCAGTTGACACTTTACTGTCTGCCCAAGATAGGAACGACCAGCATGGGAAAATCGGAAAGATTAAAAATTATTGCCCATTTTAGAGCTCATTATATGGACCGGGAAAAAAAATCACACGTTAGAAGTTATTATTTTTGTCAATAACTTCACTCATTTGAAAAAGTATTCAAATAAGTTCCTAAATGAAAAACTCCTTTTATTTTACCGACTTTGCATTTCTTACGGTTTCCAGTTTTCCCATACTAGTCGTCCTTGGACACAGAGTATATCACATATATTCAACGATTTACCAACTCGAAGATACCTCCATAAGATTCACTGTTCCTCCATGCCCATCGGTGAATTTATATTTAGTATCAGCATTGAGCCCGTGCGGAGGCGGGTGGCTCGCTAGTATTACAATAAACGTAAGTAGCGTACATTTTCCAGGCTATATTGTTGTTACAACTGAGTTCCCTACTGTGTTATTGAATATATATATATATGGACAGGATGGCTAGGGCTAGGATGTGGAATCATACACGATCTGGGCTTGACTCCTTTAATCGGTGACCCCCGAGACAGATGACAGTTGGCACTTAGGCATTTTGTAGCGTATTTATTACACCTACCTGCTACTGGATGCAATAATTCAAACCTAGTTGAGGCTAAGTGATCCTCTTATTACTGAAAATAACATTCCAAATTTCACCAAAATTTAAGAAGGGCTATTTACGATGATAACACAAGAAAAATTTTTTTAAAGTTCAACACCCTATAACTTGGGTGTAATGAATTTTCGGACTAATATTTATAATAACTTTTTTCATAACATTAGCTCCTGAACACGCCCGCAATCAAGCAGTTATCAAACTTTCTTCACAACAGCATATATCTTTACACCCTGTTCAGGTAGAATTCAAAAGAATAGCGTTTGAAGAAGAATAGCGTCTACTTTGTTCAACATATTTGTTTGTTTATCTATAGTTTTCATTTTATTCAACGAGTTTCTCGCACAGTCACAGAAGTCAATTATCTGTGTTAATTATAATGAAACCACTGGTTCCAATGCAGCAGATGGTTTCGTGAATTTTCAATGTGAAATCTTTCCAGGAGCCCATATATAAAGACGGTGATGGTCTTTCAGATACACTTTAGATTTCAACTTGTTTGAATATGAGGTTTCTTCTAGTGATTCAGGTGAATATCCTCAATATTATCAATGACATTTAGTTTTCTTACATTTACTGATTATTTACATTTGAAAATAGGTGGTAGTGATTTTTTACAGTGTGTGCATTTAGTTTTTCAGTTGAAATAATTCGAAAGGATATTCATTGATGGCCAGTAAAAAGAGTTGTTAGCTTTAGATAAACATTTATTTACCCCTTGATGTCCCAAATGAATTTTTTCGACGATTTCATTTCTAAGTGCTTTAGGAACTATCAATTTAGTGCCTTTATATACAAGACCATTGGCTGTTGTTAATTCAGCCCTATACTTGAAGGAACATTTCAAATTTTCAGATAGTTTTTTCATTTGATTTGGCCATCCTTTCAAAATCAAGTTCCTTAAAGATGATAACTGCGGATCTTTTTCAGTGAGCTTCCTAATCTGTTGCATTTTCCCATCACTTGCATTTACATTTTCATTTATCAAGCAAACTTGAGCCTCCAGCTCTATATCAATATTTTCATCAAAATATTTATTTACATAAGCTCGAGATAGAGTGTCCGCAATGATCAAACTTTTATTTTATAATTTTTATTTCTGGTAAAATATAACAACTGAACTTGACAATATATAACAACACACAACCATAGAAACATCGAATCAAAAACATCTAAATATAATGTGGCTCAAATTCATTTTTGTTGTTAATCTCCAACACTTATGAATGGATCCATATTCAGTTTATAGTTTGTTAGTTCAAATTATTAAAAAAAGGACAGAAACAAACAATCATGGTATAAATAAAATGAGATAAAAAAAACATTCATTTAAAAACTAACTTACTGATAATGTGGAGATAAAATATTTGGTTAGTACGGTTGATTTCTGTTACAAATTTCAGAGCATGCGCGAACTTAGATATATATTTTTAAGTTTTGTGAATCGTCCCAGAATATTTATTTGTGTGACGTAGTCAACTTATTTCTGAGCCTATTCTTGAAAACAGTAGGATTCGTAGAAAATCCGGTCGATTTCTTTAGTGGCGTGTCCAAAGCTTCTATTTGTTTTCCCTGTTTGTTTGTTTGAGACGTAGGCGGTTCCTCTTCTCCTATATTAGTGTTTCCTGTATTCCTGTATCGTGCCTGTGTGTTTGGTTCTTCTGAATTTTCAAGAAAGAGATTTTTATTTTCAATGTTGAGAGTGTTCTCCAAATAAGAGATTAGTTCTATTTTAAGGGGACTGTCGTCTGAGTGTCCGAGTGAGTAGAGGTTATTTATATCTGCTTCCTTCAGGTCGATGTCTAGAAGATGTTTTATTTCTTCACAAATGAATTGAAGAGATCTCTCTTTCAGAGGTTTGTTGAGGCCGAATACTACAAAGTTGTTCACTTTTTTGTTTCTTTCTAAAATTTCGAATTTATTTTTCAGTTCTTTGTTTTCTTTTTACAATAAGTTGATGGTTTTGCTCATGAACCCTATTTTCATAACTATACGTGTTTCACTGGCTTCAATTTTTAGTTTCGTACGTGTCATTTTCTTTAATTGTTTGTTTCACTATATTCTTACTTTTTACAATTTCATCTAGCAGCTGTCTAAGGTTAATGTCATTTTTTTCTTCACCCATCTTCTTCAGGATATATTTGTTCAGCAAAATGCACCTGCCATAGATTCAGTTGGATTTTACTGGTTTTAACTGTACTATAGTCTGAGTTCACAAACTTGCACAAACTGATGAGAGCGAAACAACGTTTTCAAAAGTCGCAAAATGCAAGATAACTACAATTTAGTCAGTATTCACCTGACAGAGGGTCACTTACTGCATTACTTTTCAGCTAAAAATCGATTTTTTCACGTCAATGGATAGAGAAATATCATACTTTTCATAGGAACCGAAGTAAACGTGACTTGTTGAATACATAGAATAATACATAGATAGCAGAAAAATATGAAAACTCATTTAAAGACATGCTTAATTTAAAAAAAAAATATAATTTCAAATCACGACTGAACCATGGGACAGATATTTGGGAACTCACATTATTTGTCAAATGAAAGGTATTTTCATTCATCAGCAGCCTTACGCTGAGAGAATTTTACAAAAATTCAAAATGATAGAAGCGTGAAACTCCGTTTCACAGGCACTTACAAAACCTGAAAAACGTCACTGACAAAATGTAAAATGAATATTCAGGTATTCACGTGGCACTTCAAATTATGGGAATTCAAATTAGTGATTCAGACTATGTAGTAAATCTACATCTGGTGTGTTTGCAAATTTGGAAAAGAAGCAATATGTTGGTTGAGTCAAAAGCAAGGATCTATTTCACTGTCAACTACTGAGTCTGAGTTTATAGCTAGCAGTGACAAAACCTTTACCAAAATGTCAGTTTGAATATTTGAGAAATACAATAGAAAAATATACTGATAGGCTAATAGTCATTGCGGGTGACTTTAACAGCAGAATTGCTTCTTACGGTACTGTCCCTCATGAAATTATTGAAGGTTTAAATATATTCGAAGATCGTATAAGTTCAAACATAACAATAAATACTAGAGGTAGGCAGATTATTGATTTCATGGATAATAATTCATTTTGTGTATTGAATGGTAGAACATCGTTAGATACACCGGGTCAATTTACATATATCAGCAAACTGGGAAAGAGTGTGGATGATTTGGCATGGGTAAACAATTTGTTCATTTCGGACGTGAATAATCTTTATGTTGATGAAGAAGACTTTTTGTCTGCCATTTTCCCACAAAAATAAATTTGAACTTTAGTAGTCTGCTTGAACATAAAGACTCTGATCCTTTAAATAATGTTAATCCGTGTATGAAGTTAAACCGGAAAAATGAGTTTTATTCAAATTATAAATTAGGAATGAATCGGTCAAACCGAGCCCATTTTATTGCTGATCCTGATGAGTGAGTCCTTTTTCAATATAATTGCAGCCATACGCGAGGTTTCCCCTGGTTTAGGCCTTGTTTAAAACATCATAAAAACAGGAGATTGAAAAAGAATAAGCCATGGTTTGATATTGACTGTATCACTGCAAAAAAATAATGCAAATAGCTTTGAAACAATGTCAGAAACATAATTTTTCAAAAAATCTGAAAACAAACTATATAGGCTTGAAATGCGGGCATAAGAAAATAATAAAAATAAAGGAAACAGAATACGAGACAGGATTTATTACGAAGTTCACAAACGTGAGAAATCAAATCGAATTCTGGTTGGCTATCAAGCAGTTTCGAAATGGTTCAGTTTCTGAATCTTTGCCAGTCGAAGTATGGGAAAACTTTTACGAAAATATCTATACTCTTAGAATGGTAACCCCACTTTATCTCCAAGACGCTTGCCACCCTTATTCAGACACACCTTTCTATGCTGATGAAATTTATACAGTACTCAATAAATGTAAAAATAATACATCCCCAGGATCACAGTTTTATCAGAATTTACCAAATAATTGGGTACTTTACTTAACAACCTTATTTAACAAGATTTATGATTCACCTGCCATGCCTAGAAGCTGGTATAATATTATAACAACTATGTTGCACAAAGGTGGTCCAGTAAAAAATCCGGAAAATTATAGAGGCTTAGCCTTAGTAAAATGTTGTCTCAAAATATTCACAAACCTTATACTTAACAGACTCACGATGTGGGTCGATGATTGCAAAGCATTGCCAGAGTGTCAGTCTGGTTTTCGCCCTGATCGAGGATGTGTAAACAATGTATACACACTGAGCTCAGTGATAAACTTTCATATTAGACATAGAAAACGAAAGCTATTCGCTATTTTTGTTGACTTCAGAAGACCTTTTGATTCTGTTGACCATAACTTACTCCGGGATAAATTAGTCAAAATGGGGATATCAGCTAAACTCCTGCGAATAATACAAATGTTGTATTCCAATGCAACTATTCAAACAAAATGTTCTGATGGCCTCTCTAAATTTTTTGGATTAACAACTGATGTTCGTCGAGGTGAGCCTCTGAGCCCCCTTGTATTCGCACTATTTATAGCGGATGTAGAAACATTCTTCTATGATAACCAGGCACTCGCCACGGCTTCGCTGGCATACAATTCTTAACGTACACTTTCACTTTTCAATATTCCCAAAAAAAGAAGTCCAACGATGTCAAATCACATGATAATGGCGGCCAATTAACATCGCCACGACATGAGACAACACAACCATTGAATTTCTCGCGCAAAAGAGCCATTGTTTCGTTGGCTGTGTGGCAAGTGGCATCATCCTGTTGGAACCACATACCATCCAGGTCCATATCTCCAATTTCTGGATAGAAGAAGTCTGTTATCATCTAGCGATAGAGAACACCATTTACGGTAACTTCTTGGCCGGCCTCATTTTCGAAAAAGTACAATTTTGTACTTCTCCATGGTTGAATGTATCAAACACTGAATCAAAGGAATAACAAATTAAATTGGGCAAAAACTTGACGTTAAGGTGTGACTCACATTTAACATCGTGCATGATGGTTAGACCACCCTATACTTTGGTTTATATACAGGTGAAATTCATGTTGATACATGGGGATCTGGAAAACGGTGAGAGTTACAGAAATAAGGTTGAGTGGATGTGAATTTGCGTATTATAAAGTCCATGATAATGATAATGGAAAATTTTAGATAGCCATCTTATTTCTAGGGTTAGGGTGCTTTCATAAAAAAACATGTTACCAATACAGTCAAGTCTATACCGGTCGGTACCGATCGGTATGGGTAAAATAGTTCCTTGTTATATTATGCCCTCACTTGAATAAACAAAATAAGTTCTGTAGTAACAGAAGCTTAACTGCTTATTTCATTGAGTACCCTCATACAAAAAAAGCAAAAAAACCGATTTGGTTTTCCAATACTTACATCTTATTTGATAGGATAGGTTTTCAAAACCTGCACTTTTTCATTGAAACTTTCACTCGGCTGGAGAAATATGTTGGATCTATCGTTATTAATTAAATCAGATCAATTGACCGATTTGCTATGGATTCATTTTCAACTTCAATGAATAGTGTTCATCTTATTTTTTTTTTTTTTTTAGTTTTTTGAATAACTTACAATCCAAGTAGGTTTTTTATTTTAGACCATACACATTTTGTTTTTGTAGACTTGTTAAGAATGTACCAATAAAAAGAATGCAAACATTCAATATTGTACAGTAACCGAAAGGAAAACAAACACTTATTCCGCATTCGAGTTCATGGAATATTTGCCAAATATTTCATGAAAGCTGTTTCGAAAAAAAAACAGATAACGATCGCCATCGAAACTGTAATCATAGATAGAAGGGTCAAATAATTATTTCTGATACATAATTTCTCACTTCGAATGAAAATAAAACTCTGTAACTCTTTTCGTTTTCTAGATCTCCATGCAGCACCCACTCGAATATGTGAACATTTCTCTAGATCATTCAATTACTTCTTTCCCTTTGTCCCATTTGATTTTTCAATGAGAACTGGTGATGGCATCACATAATTTTTTTTTTCAAGTTCAGACTACTGAAGTATTGAATAGAATCACAAATTCACTATTAAATTGTTACAATTTTCTTTCAGATTATATCCCTGATGTGCTCGAAGGAACAAGTATGTGCACAAGAGTCTCATTACCGTGCTGAATCGGAAGATAATAATATTAACAAGAATCCCATTATTCCAATCATAAAAAGCAACTTTGAACAGTATTACGATGGATACAAATATAGGTAAGTACGCAAAGTGACCTATTTTGACCCCCAACCTATAAACATCAAATTTCGAAAATGAAGTTGAAACTGATCAACTAGAGAATTTATGATGCACTGTTTGGAACCTTTGGTGTAGTAATGAATATTACTGGAGTTTTTTCCCAACACCAAATCCTTATTTTTAACACCTCGACACGTGTTTCGATCACCAAGTGATCATCTTCAAAAATGTTTAAAATAACGATTTGGTGTTGGGAAAAAACTCCAGTAATATTAACTAGAGAATTGTTGAGAATAGGATAACATTTCATTTACAGTTTCTTCATCTACTTCTTTATCTTTGTATAAAATATGTAGGTAACTTCCGAAAACGGGTTTCCGACACGAAACATCGAAAGATATAGTATATACGAAGTCAATTCTAATGTCACAACAACTAAATAGTTACTGAACGTGGGCAGTTTCTTTCAATGGCATGTATGACATACGAGGTCTAATCATTATTTTTATGTAGGAGGTTTTATACGGTATCAACTAATAAATTCATCAAATCTGGTACATAATTTTATTAAGTTGTTCGGTTTGACTGCGTATAGACTATACACCTTATGGATGGTAGATTTCCATGTTAGTGAAATTGTATAACAATGTTCTATCATATATTGCATTGTGTAGCGTTCTCGTGCATGATATCTGTTTCAATTCTATAACGAATGTTTCAAGTACAAACTGAATAGAAAGCAGTTAATTCCTTGTAATTCAATATTCATATGAGAGTAGTTGTTTTGAAAAAAGGTTTTCTTCGTTGTAATCCAGAATTTATGTGAAAGTATCTGTTTGGAAACAACTTATTTTTTCCGTTTGTGTCTGAAAGGAACTTTTCTGCATGATATACACATATTTCCAATCAGTTTCTTTTGAACTTGATTATTATCCTCCTTTGTTCGGAAGTTTCTCATATTTTTTGTATAAATATACAGTTACAGTATTTTGGAGAAATCAAGTTTGTGAAAAAATATACCATAAAAAAAATGGAGAAAAGTTTACAAATTGTCTTCCTTTCTGAACACTGATGTAATATAAACACAATAAGAATACGCCTGAGAAAACTAGTTCATAGTCAAACAAATATTGTAGTTTTGTTAACTCTTCAGTGAAAATCTTATTATTTTCATTGGAAATTCGGCAACCGCCTTCATGGGTTGTAGTCTGCCGTTCCAGAATTATTTAATGGCACAAACTTTCAGAAAGTCATCGTTTCCATCAGATGCAGATGCACACGATGAGTAGGCTCAACAATAGTCATCGAGTGATGCGATAGAATCATGAATGAACCCAACAAAAAACAGTCGAATCATTTTTTGCAGTCTGTATAACTTTTTTACGGCATTGTCTGAACTATCAAGGTCTTTGATTTCCTTAATAATCGCAAATATCTTTTGAAAACTTCGATACTTCATTATATTCCACAGGAACGGTTTCAATCAATAATAAACCATTATATATATTATTTCGTTTGCGATGTTGATATTAAAGAATGAGGAAAACTGTTCCAGATATCGCTGTCCTTTATGTTAAATTTTTCGAACAGAAAGCATTACAACTTTAAATTGAAAAGGGTATATTTTCAAGAAAGATTAATTTTTTGCTTTCTACTCCATTTTTATACAAAAGTTAGAGAAGTGTTTTGCGTGTTCCACGATTTCCTGCTATCGAAAAAAAAATGGATCGAAGAATTTGTATCAAATTTTGTGTAAAAATGGAATTAAGTGCTCAAAAACACTTGAAATGGCAAACGGTGGCGGTGGCATACGGTGATTGTACTCTGAGTCGAAGTTACACGCTGCTCGCGAAACGCAATACGAAGAAATCGTCTGGTATTGTGAAAAAACAATTTATGACTTTTGCATGGCGATTATGCACCTACTCACTCGTCATTGCTTGTTCGTAATTTTTTGGTCAAAAACAACACCATAATCATGCCTCATCCACTGTATTCACCAGACTTGGCCCCTGTGAGTTTTTTCTGTACCCAAATCGCTGAGAGAGCTCGAAGACAAAGCAAAAAGTGCATATCACAACTGCTTCGTGGATTGGATAAAACGCTGGCACAAGTGTATTATATCTGAAGGGAACTACTTTTAGGGGGCTAAATAGAAATTGATGAATAAATAAATATTTTTTGAGAAAACTGAAAATTCACCTTATTCTTTGGACAGACCCCGTAATTTATAATTCGTCAAAGATGCAAGTGTTTTATATGTCAAGTTTGTTGTTTAATTAGTAGGTAAAATGAATTACACATCCTTAGAAAGCTATTTAGTTGTTTGAAAACTTTCATCAAACATGACAATGCATACAGCAATTACAGTTCTCTCTGGTGCATTGATTTTTCTGATTCGTAACAGTGTACACAGATTGAAAGTTGCACTTTTACTTTCGTCGTTGTTTTCATTTTCATTAAGTGAATATATTGTAATAACTGAATTTCTCAACATTCCACGCTAAGTTTATCTACAAAACTGTTGATGAAAACAGATGAAAATTATTTTTACTTATGATATTGCGTACCTGCACAACTTGATATGAATATTTTCTATCAGGTTAGTAATTATTCAATAACTATTATTCTGAGTCAGATGGTGAAATATTATGAACAGGTAACACCAGTGAAACAAACAGTTTTGAGGAAGAATTCAAAGAACTGAATATTCTATAATGATAATTTTTTGACAGCAAACATCTAAAATAGGATACTCAATGAAGCGTGTCATTTATCCAAACACTTTACATAATATAGTAAAAAAAACTTGTATCAATAAGATCCAATGGGTTCAAAGATGATACTCTAATTTTTTAATTTGGCATGGTCTGATACTGGTAGAAAAAATTCCGTTCATCATTTTGATAAGTTAAATATATCTGGCATGGTATTCAACAAAGAAAAACCTTTTTCCACTATTTTCATTAATAAACGATATCAAACTCTAAAGGGAGTAGGGAAAAATTCACAATTGAAATTTCCTGGAAAAAAAAGGTTATACAGAAACTTTTCCAGGTTTCAAGAAATTTTTTTTTATAATCATTACATCTTTTCTGATCTCATTTCATATTATTTGTCGTGATTAAATGGAAGTTGAATTGAATTACGTTTTCAGTTATGAAACTGGCAACGGTATCCAGGCATATGAAACAGGTATTATCAAACACAAAGGAGATGAAAAACATGAAACTCTCGTACAACAAGGCTCTGTCACATACCACGATGAACATGGAAAACCCATAACGCTTACATACATTGCTGACGAACATGGGTTCCAACCACAAGGAGATCATTTGCCTACATCTCCAACAATTCCTGAATCAATACAAAAGGCACTGGTCGAGCAAAATCATAATAGTCGTGCCGAAGTGAATGGAGAACAACGAAATAATCAGGAACAAGAACCAGGTTCCTATCGACATGAACCAAAATATTATAATTATTGAAGATGAAACTAATGAAATACGTTGAGAGATGTAGCCGTTACTACGTGGTAGATCATCATAAAAATTGAGAAATAAAACTTTCTATATTTTTATACCACTTGTATTTGTAACTATCGTTAGTTACAAATACAAGTAGTATAAAAACATAATTATCATTTTTCATAATAAAACACGATCAGTAATGAAATGTTTCATCTAGTGAAATATTGTTTACTTGGAAATGGTTTTGCACTTTGTGCGATATTGAATTTGAAATAATTTAGATAATTTCAAAAATGTAAGCACATGAGGTTAATCTGAAATGACATAAACAATTACTCTATTTTTTAATAGATCAGCTAGAGAAAATGTACATTTCGAAAATATAGAGTTCAATATACTATGTAGAAAAAATAATGTATGTATAAGTTAACTAATTATTAAACCAATGATTCATTGTTTCGATTATTTTCGTAGTTTATAATGCAATTACCTGTTAAACCTGTTAAATTATCAAATCGATTTAATTTACTCTCCGGTTTTTAAATTGGCGCATCCGTATTGTGAACTGTAAATTCAGGTACTCAATCAAGTCAAGTACCTCTATTTCTATTAGTACCTACAGGGATGGTATATATTGGCTAATGTAATGAATCATTTTTACTTTATTGTATAAGTTCGAGAATGTCTATATAGGACGAAACTGCAGTAACGTTAGTTACAAATAAAAGTGGTAAAAAACATAGAAACTTTCATTTCTCTTTTTATTATGATCTCCTACCACGTACTAACGGCTAACATCCATCAATTTATTAAAAAATAAAGTATTTATTAGCAAGTTTCTTCAATCTTTCTTTCAATCCACATTGGCTATTTCTCATTTATCACAGCATGGTTGCTACTGAATATTACTGGAGTTTAATCCCAACACCAAACCGTTATTTTTGAATCCTCGACATGTGTATCAATCCAAGTAATAATCTTCAAGAGGGAGATTAAACTAAATTACATACATACAATATTGTCCTTATTTTTACCCTAGATACCTCTGCTAGGTACCTGCGTCCTAACAAAGGCATCTAGAGTATAGATAAGGACAATATTGTATGTAATTTAGTTCAATCTTCTAGGTACCTGCGTCCTAGCAGATGTATCTAGGGTATAAATAAGGATAATATTGTTGCGCATTAGTCGAGGATTAAGTTAAAAAACAAACTAAAAGTTTTAATGAAAATGGAAATCTCACCACAAAAATAGTTTGTAAATCTCACAAATTGTGACTGATAAGTTAGAAGGTCAATCAAACTGGAAGTTCCAGTTGAAGCAATGCAAGCTGTGGAAGGTACACTTTAGAAACTTAAAACTTTAGAAACTTGAAGAATTGGCTCCAGGGGCATCAGGGGACCAGAAAGCTGCTTATTGTAAATAGTCAGCAGTTTATAATAAGCTAGAGTATACTGCCAAAAATATAATAGTCTCCAGTTTGAGCTCTCAAACAAGATAGTTGGTTAATATGTGCAATTACACTCAAGAGATATGGAATAAGTTACATAGCGTTTTCGAACAACGAACAGAGCAGACAGGATCGACTGTTTAATGAATTTTTTGGTGTGAAAGTGAAAGATACGGCAAAAATCATATGGCAAAATTAGAAAAACTTTGGGTATAATTACAAGATGAAACTTGGAAGGAAGATAGAGTAAAATTACCTGAATCAGTTTTCATAAATAGAATTTTAAATAACATGCCTCCGGGTTACTTCGAATTCATGGTTACCTGCAAATCTGTTCCTAAATCCCAAAGAAACCTCACTCTTCTCCAAGAAAGACTTTGTACTATTGAACTCCGTTTGCAGGACAGAAGTGATGACAATACCTACATCAACTAAGTTCAAAGGAAGGTTAGTTTCAAAGGTATATTGTCAAAAGGCTGGGCAAGATTATAATGAAACTTTTGCTCCTCTGTAGCCAGATTGGACATCATTAGAACAGTTATTTCAGTGACAGCCAGAGAAAATATGCATTCATCTCAGTTTGATGTGAAAAAGGCATTTCTCAATGGTTTGCTTAACGAAGAAATCTACATAAAACAACCACAATGTTTCGATTAGGGAACTGCTCTAGTTTGTAAAATGCTAAAAAGTTTGTATAGACTCAAGCAAACCCTACTTTATTCATAACGGAAAGAGAAAATAAGTTATTGGTTGTTCTATATGTTGACGATGGAATGATAATAATAATATAAGTTTATTCAGATATCCCATACAAATATGAAAATCATCAAATAAAACGAATAAACGAGAATACAAAATCACGAAGCGTCAGTGGTGAGACCGTTGCTTGTATGTGATAGATTAACCTAAATATAATATTATTGTAGTTTTAAGACTAATAGTGATTGATTTGCCTAAATATAATATTATTGTAATTTTATGGCAAAAATTTAATTTAATACTTCAGATCTTATAATTTTATTAATATGTACGTCACGTTACTTGTATATGTTATTCAGATATGAGCCACATTTGGNGAGAATTCAGTGCCTACTATTTTGGAATTATGGTATAGATATGTGGATAACGTTTTGGTATGTTTCACAGGTACTAACATACCTATATTAACAAAATTCATGAAAACATTAAATTCACTATTGAAGTAGAAGCAGAAAATTCAAACTCAATAAATTTCTTGGGCTTCACAAGTAGAAAACAACAAATATGATTTTTCAATTCATCACACACATTCCCGTATGGATATTACTATTCATAGTAATTCTATCCATCCATAATAGCATTATACATAGTTTAGTCGATGTTCCTCTTTCAATAGATTATTTTAATAAAGAACTCAATACCATTAAGCAAATTGCAGTAAACAACAGCTTTGAAGCTGAATAGACAAAATACTTTCCAAAAACGTCTACGCAAAAGCGATTCGGGACTTTTTTTCCTATTGATAAGTTTGATAATCTAAATTATAGAGTTTTGACATAGTCTAGAAAATCACATGTTTAACGGAGATTTCCAAATTTTTCACATAGAAAATAAAGGTTTAAAGCTAAATCATTTCGCAACATTGGAAATTAATAAACTTAAAAATTCAAACATTTTACTGAATGACCGACTAGATTTAAATAGATCACCATTACTGAACTTGTTTTCTTAGAAACCAATGTTATCCTAATCTTTGTAGACATATTATTATTGATGTATGCTCTAGTTAATTATTATTGAGTATGTACCCGAGATATATAAAAGTTGAGATGTAGAAATTATATATGGTCTAGCTAATTATGATTTAGTATGTAGCTGAGTAGATAGTTCTCACTAGTGATTACGTGGATTATATGAAAATTAGAGCGAATAATTAGTTTTCTGTATGTTATCACTATGAAAAAGCCACTGTAATAGCAATACATGCCATGATATTTTTGGAAATACATTTTGTGAAGATCAAATCGTTTCCAGTGTAGTGAAATTACTATAGATCTTCATCAAGTCACGGCCGAGTCAATCAGAAAAAATCACAATGTAAATATTGGCATTTTGTTGAAAGGTACAAATATTATTACAATTGTTCGCTCTCAAGATCTTACTGTCGAGGTTATTATGTTTTTCAAGTGAATCTTAATTTTTTAGTATTTAGCCTTGAGTTGCCAGCTCTAAAATTTGTACAACAAAAATGTTGTTTTATAGCGGTTTGATAATCAGCTGAATTGAATAGAGCTTGCAGCTCACGGTCAGCGCCGAAAAAGTTAGTGCCGTTGTCAGAAAAGATTTCAAGGGACATTTCTCTCCTAGCAAAAAAGCGCTTAACTAGCCAAAAAAGCTTCCGTAGTAAGATCGGAAACAAGCTCCAAATGGATAGCTTTAGTGACCATGCAAATGTAAACTGCAACGTAGACCTTGAGTTTATTCCGATTACGGAATCGCTTTTCTTTAATGTACAGTGGGCCGCAGTAGCCAACACCCGTTTTCAAAAATGATCGTGATGGCACAACGCGGTAGTCAGGTAGAGGACCTGGCTGATGATCAGCTAGACAGGGAAGGCAGGGAAGGCAACCGTGAATAACCTTTCTTACGCTATTTCGCCCGTCAAGCGGCCAATATGTTTGGCGAACTGAATGCAAGGTTGCCTGAACCCCAGCAAAAGGGATACAAGGAATAATTAAATAATTAAAAATGTACGGGTTGCTTGAGAAAAGGTATTTGGAAATATTGAATTTCATGAGCATAAGTGGATTAGAAAGCCCCTTAAATTTGAGACCAACTGGAAAACCCCGATTATAAATAATGAAAATTTAAATAACTTAAACAAGATTAGTTAACAATACATAAAATAAAAATAATGCCATAAACAATCTGTTTTGTTGTACAAATTTTAGAGCTGGCAACTCTCGGCTAAATAATAAAGAATTAAGATTCACTTGAAAAACATAATAACCTCGACAGTAAGATCTTGAGACCGAACATGCCTCCACCCTTGAACTGTCCAAGTTCAATAAAATAAAATAGAGCCGTTAATTGAAGGGTTGAGGGCGAAGTTTTTCAGTACAGCGCTTGCACTCGCCACTTTTGGTTTTTAGAGTCACTACACGCACAATGACGTCTTCTCCTGGATGGATTGCGGTGATTCTACCAATGGACCAAACAAGTGGGGGTAGATTGTCTTCATGGATCAGAAGCATATCTTCAACTTGAATCCTGCTACTTGATTTAGAACGTTGATGCGAGCTAATAAGGTTATTTAGATATTCCTTATGTCAGCGATCCCAAAAGTGCTGCTTTAATTTCTGCGCAGGTTGCCAGGCAGACAATCGGTTAGATGAAGTGTTAGTGAAGTCAACCTCTGGACAGCTTATCAATGGAGCACCAGTGAGGAAGTGGCCGGCAGTCAAAGGCAAAAGGTCGTTGGGATCCGAGGATAAAGGGGATAAAGGACGAGAGTTCAATATCGCTTCGATCTCAATTATATATGTTTCTAATTGTTCATATATAAGCAATGTATCTCCGACAGTGCGTAGTAAATGTTTTTTAAATGATTTGACTGCAGCTTCCCAAAGTCCTCCAAAATGAGGAGCTCGGGTTGGTATGAAATGCCAAGTGATTCTTTCTTTATCAAAATGTTATTTTATAGCGGTTTGATAATCAGCTGAATTGAATAAAGCTTGTAGCTCACGGTCAGCGCCGACAAAGTTAGTGCCGTTGTCGGAAAAGATTTCAATGGACTTTTCTCTCCTAGCAAGAAAGCGCTTAATACTAGCCAAAAAAGCTTCCTAGTAAGATCGGAAACAAAATCCAAATGGATAGCTTTAGTGACCATGCAAATATAAACTGCAACGTAGACCTTGAGTTTATTCCGATTACGGAATCGCTTTTCTTTAATGTACAGTGGGCCGCAGTAGTCAACACCCGTTTTCAAAAAAGGTCGCGAAGGCACAACGCGGTAGTCAGATAGAGGACCTGGTTCATTATCCGCCAGACGAGGTTTTGCACGAAAACAGGAAAGGCAACCGTGAATAACCTTTCTTACGCTATTTCGCCCGTCAAGCGGCCAATATGTTTGGCGAACTGAATACAAGGTTGCCTGAACCCCAGCATGCATGAGTCGCATGTGTTCCTCGCGGATGATAAGCCGAGTGATATGGTGATTAGCACGCAAAAGTATAGGGTGAAGCTGATCTAAAGGTAAGGGGGACCGACGAAGTCTACCGCCCACTCTCAATATTCCTTGATCATCCAAATATGNTCATCTCATCTATTGAATCATCGGCTCAAAACTATGAGACAGCATGGAATTTGTTAAAAGAGAGATATGACGATCGTAAGTTCATTCGCGATGTTTATATTAAATCACTAATTGATTTACCTTCCATTTCAAAAGATTTTTCTACTCGCGCCTTTCTAGATCACCTTCAGAAGAATCTGAGAGCTCTTCAATCTTTAGGTGAGCCTACTAACTATTGCGATTCATTTTTAATAGTTTTATTTTGCGATGAATTCAATTGCCGTTTAGTCGAAAGGTGGAATGATTTCAGTAACGACTTTTCAACTCCTACTGTTGAACAAATGATCAGTTTTCTAAATAAACGAGCTCAACTCGAAAATACGTGAGTTCTAATAATAATTCCAAGACATCAAATTCTCGACCCAATACTCAATCTCAAAAGGCATATGTAACATTCACAACGCCAATTCGGTGTCTCTATTGCAGTGAGAACCACGTCACTAATCTTTGTCCGAAATTTCTCGCGCTCAATCCTTCACAGCGATTTGAAATTGCTAAAAAAGAAGGATGGTGCATCAATTGTCTTCGCAAATGGCATCGTCCATCTCAGTGCACGTCCACTAATTGTCGCAACTGTCAACTAAAACACCACACTCTTTTGCAATTTGATTCGACAAATAATCACAGAAGAAATATTCACAATAATCACAATTATAATCGTAATAATTACAATTATAATCACAATTGTAATCGTAATAGTAATCATAACCACAATAATAACGCGACTAATAACTGTAACACATCTGATGAATTTAATAATAATAATCGCAACGAAAACTACGATAACTTTAATAATAATAACAATTATAACAATCAGACGAATCCAAACCATCTTCAAAATCAACGTGAAAGCATTTTTAACTCTCCTGAGTTTTCAAACACAAATCTCGCCTCGTCTTCAAGTGTAAATATGCACGTGCAGGTTTCTTCTGAAGCAGTTCTAGCTACTGCATTCGTGGATATCGTCAATAAGTACGGAAAATCTAAAACTTGTAGAGTATTCTTGGACGCAGGCTCTCAGGCTCATTTCATTACAGAGAGCGTCGCAAGTTTTTTAAATCTCGATTGTAAAACAGTAAACATTGCAGTTTCCGGTTTTGATGATATCTCGACAAACATAACACAATATACTTATGCAACAATCAAATCTCGTCACAATAAATTTGAAAAAGATGTCGAATTTCTCATTGTGCCTCAAATAAGCACCTTCATGCCGTCAATTCAAATTAATCAATCTCTACTAAGATTCCTAAAAATATTCCCTTAGCCGATGCAGAATTCTTCAAACCTTCTGAAATCGATGTTCTCATTGGGGTAAAATTGTTCTACAAATTACTCAGCATAGGCCAAATCTCATTATAAGGCCAGCCAGATGCGGTTCTTCAAAAAACTCAACTAGATTGGATCGTAACTGGTGAAATTAAAAATCCTGTCGCTACTAGACGCATAACTTGTCACTTAGGCTTACATGCAGAACAATTTGATTCTGATCTCACTCGCTTCTGGGAAATCGAAGAAATTCCCTCATCAAAAATTTCGTCCCCAGAAGAAAAGGCATGTGAAGTACATTATTCACTTCACACTACTCGAGATAAATCTGGTCGATACGTCGTTAAGCTTCCTTTTAATGACAAAATTCAAAATCTCGGAGAATTTTATTCCAATGCTTTACGTCGTTTTTACGCCTTAGAAAGGCGATTCCAAAAGGATCCAGATCTTCAACGCCAATACTCTGACTTTTTAAGCGAATATCAAAAGCTGGGTAATGTCTCTTATTTCGGGTCAAGACGATACTGCCAGTGGTTTTTATCTTCCCCGTAATGCGGTAAGAAAGGACGATAGTTTGACTACCAAAATTCGAGTCGTATTTGACGGTTAAGCTAAAACATCAACCGATATTTCATTAAATGATACTCAAATGGTAGGTCCTAAATTACAAGATGATTTGTTTGTAATTTTGCTTCGTTATCGTTCGCATCTATATGCACTTACTACCGATGTTGAAAAAATGTACCGAAAAATTCGTGTACCTCCAGATGATGCGATCTATCAATAGATTCTTTATCGTGAAAGTATTAGCGATCCGATTGAGACTTATATTCTTGAAACTGTCACATACGGCACAGCTTCTTATCTAGATATTCGGTCCTTACAGCAGCTAGCTGAGGACGAAGGTCATCGCTATTCACTTGCTTCTGTTTCTTAAAAAAGAGATTTCTACGTGGATGATCTTCTTACAGGTGCGAAAACACTACCAGAAGCAGAGCTATTGCACGATCAACTACAAGATTTAGTTAGGAAAGGTGGCTTTCAGTTACGAAAATGGGTTTCAAATCATGCGTCACTTGTATCCAATTATTCTGAGCATCCAAAAAATACTCATATGTCCCTTGATCCTGAATCGTCTGTCAAAACCCTCGGTATACACTACACTGGAACTCTCAAAGTGATTTACTGTTTTATAAGGTTAATGCAACTATTTTAAAAACTCTCACCAAACGAAACATCTTATCTCAAATCGCAAAACTTTTTGATCCCTTAGGCCTTCTGGGGCCAGTTATATTTTATGCAAAAATTATAATTTAACTCTGTTGGAAGGCTGGAATTTCCTAGGATGAGTCCGTTTCTCAGAGCATACATGATATGTGGATTGCCTATGAATCTCAACTTTCTATACTTGAAACTAAGCACTTTCCTCGTTGTCTCATCGCTTCAACCTCACGTGATCTTCAAACTCACGGATTCTGTGACGCAAGTGAAAAGGCCTATGGAGCTTGCCTATACTTACGCTCAACAGATTCAAACAGAGTTGTGCACACACAACTAATATGCTCCAAATCAAGAGTGGCTCCTGTGAGCCCAGTTAGCTTGCCTCGCTTAGAGTGATGCAGTGCTGTCTTACTTTCCAATTTAGTCAAGGAATCTCTTCTGTTACACGTCATTTATTTGTGGTCCGACTCCACGATCGCATTACATTGGGTGCAAACTGCTCCGCATCACCTAAAAACCTTTATAGCCAATCGTGTAGCTGATATACAAAGGCTTACCAAAAACTGTCATTGGCGACATTTATTCTCTAAAGACAATCCCACTGATCTAGTCTCACGCGGACAATTACCTCTGAATTTGTTAATAGTTCTATATGGCCTAACAGGACAAAGACGAATGGCCAAAAAGCGCATTATCTGAAATTACTATCCCTGAACTTAAAGCCGTAGCGAATAATCCTGTTACTTGCATGAGCATTTCATTAAAAGGTTTTCCATTAGTTGAATGTTTCAGTTCTTTTCGTAAACTAAAATGTGTGGTAGCTTATCTATTGCGTTTTGTACACAATACAAAACATAAATCCATCAAATACTCAGAAGCTTTGAGTCCAACAGAGACTTCTGCAGCTCACAACGTCATTATGCGACTCACACAATCGTCATTCTTTCTAAAAAAAATCAATTGCCTGAAGAAAAATGAATCTCTGCCGGACTCTAGCAAATTAATCACTTTAAGTCCATATTTGGATGATCAAGGAATATTGAGAGTATACGGTAGACTTCGTCGGTCCCCCTTACTTTTAGATCAGCTTCACCCTATACTTTTGCCTGCTAATCACCATATCACTCGGCTTATCATCCGCGAGGAACACATGCGACTCATGCATGCTGAGGTTCAGGAAACCTTGTATTCAGTTCGCCAAACATATTGGCCGCTTGACGGGCGAAATAGCGTAAGAAAGGTTATTCACGGTTCCCTTCCCTGTTTTCATACAAAACCTCGTCTAGCTGATCATGGACCAGGTCCTTTACCTGACTACCGCGTTGTGCCTTCGCGACCTTTTTTGAAAACGGGTGTTGACTACTGCGGCCCACTGTACATTAAAGAAAAGCGATTCCGTAATCGGAATAAACTCAAGGTCTACTTTGCAGTTTATATTTGCATGGAGCTTATTTCCGATCTTACTACGGAAGCTTTTTTGGCTAGTATTAAGCGCTTTTTTGCTAGGAGAGAAAAGTCCCTTGAAATCTTTTCTGACAACGGCACCAACTTTGTCGGCGCTGACCGTGAGCTGCAAGCCTTATTCAATTCAGCTGATTATCAAACCGCTATAAAACAACATTTTGATAAAGAAAGAATCACTTGGCATTTCATACCACCCCGAGCTCCTCATTTTGGAGGACTTTGGGAAGCTGCAGTCAAATCATTTAAAAAACGTTTACTCCGCACTGACGGAGATACATTGCTTACATATGAACAATTAGAAACATATATAATTGAGATCGAAACGATATTGAACTCTCGTCCTTTATCCCCTTTATCCTCGGATCCCAACGACCTTTTGCCTTTGACTGCCGGCCACTTCCTCACTGGTGCTCCATTGATAAGCTGTCCAGAGGTTGACTTCATTAACACTTCATCTAACCGATTGTCTGCCTGGCAACATGCGCAGAAATTAAAGCAGCACTTTTGGGATTGCTGGCATAAGGAATATCTAAATAACCTTATTAGCTCGCATCAACGTTCTGAATCAACTAGCAGGACTCAAGTTGGAGATATGGTTCTGATCCATGAAGATTGGTCTATTGGTAGAATCACCGCAATCCATCCAGGAGAAGACGGCATTGTGCGTGTAATGACTCTAAAAACCAAAAGTGGAGAGTGCAAGCGCTGTACTAAAACATTTTGCCCTCTACCCTTCAATTAACGGCTCTATTTTATTTTATTGAACTTGGACAGTTCAAGGGTGGCGGCATGTTCGGTCTCAAGACCTTACTGTGGAGGTTATTATGTTTTTCAAGTGAATCTTAATTTTTTAGTATTTAGCCTCGAATTGCCAGCTATAAAATTTGTACAACAAAACAGATTGTTTTATGGCATTATTTTTATTTTATGTATTGTTAACTAATCTTGTTTAAGTTATTTAATTTTTCATTATTTATAATCGGGGTTTTCCAGTTGGTCTCAAATTTACGGGCCTTTCTAATCCACTTATGCTCATAAAATTCAATATTCCCAAATACCTTTTCTCAAGCAACCCCTACATTTTCAATTATTTAATTATTCCTTGTATCCCTTATCTTGGGAATTACCCGTTATTATGATCTCGCCTACCTATGTTAATCCAAACCTTCGTTTATCCCTCCAAAGATAAACCCCTTCTCTAAAATACCTACAGATGTGAAACATTGCATTTTATGTAAAATTCAATTCATTACGTTTCAAACCTTGTAACAGTACAGTTAGAATTAAATCTTGTCTTGTCTACAGTACATCTAGCTAGTTATTTTTCTCATCCTATCTTTTCACAAGAGTTATTGTAATTCTTGTGTGCATTGAGCATTTCATACTCACAGTAAAACAATCGTGGGTCAAAATAACAATGTTCAATGGAAAAACAACGAGGATCCATATTTTGTCAGAATATGTTGAAATCAACCCTCACTTTTCCACTTTCATATATAGAATATAATGAAAAAAATCTGCTTGTATTAAACGTGTCCTTGTTACACTCCATATATAAGCTTTTTTCTAGCGATGTCTACATTTATAAATGGAGACATTGCTAAAAATATATAATCTTTCAATTTAAACAAGATTCCTATAGCTGGGATTCAATCAAATAAGCGAATGAATGTTATTTACGTACCGTAATCGATAACATGGCTAGTTTCAACTCATTCTTTGACAAGAAGTCATAATTATATGAATGAATTGAGTGTTTTTTCTTATGTTACCCGTATTTGGTACCGAAGAGCCAATAAGGCGAGTGTCTTACGGTGAAACATCAGATGTCCACCAGTGAGGAAGACAGTATTCCATGAAAGTGAAATTTTACTTCTTTCATTCACTATATTGTGTAGCAATCCTGTGAATGATATCTGATTCGATTCCATGACGAATGTTTGGAATACAAACGGATTGGAGAGAAGTGTTTTCCGTATAATTCAGTGTTCATATAAAAGTATTTGTTTCGAAAGTTTTTTTTTTTTCGTGTAATTCAATGTTTATATGAAAATAACTGATTTGAGAGGGCTTTTTTCTTCGAGTTTGTGTCTAAAAGTTACTTCTTTGCATGATCTACATATCTTTGTGTAGTTAATTTTTGATTTTGATTGTAGAGAGGCAAAACCTTTCTTTCTCAAAAATTATTCTCTTCTAAAACTATCTCCTTTCAATTTAAATGATGTTGGTGTTATCACAGAATTTTTTTTGTCCATAAAACATTCAAAATGACATGAATCCAATAGAACAAAATTGAAGCAGTGTTTATACAGATACTACAGCTGATCCTGGGAGTTTTTTTGATATTTTCAATAAGATGGGGTGGAAAACAGTGACGATCTATAATAATTACATATGAATTGAATTGTGTGGAGAAACGTAACAAAATTAAAACGAAAATCACAACACACAAATATTTGGAGTAATTGCACTTTGATACCAATAGGTGTCTAGCTGGTACATTCTTCTGAAGGAGATAAACTAATATGGAAATAAATTAGAGGAGAATTCATGTTTCAGTCTCAAGTCCACCTCAAATTTATAATAAAATTCAAGTGGATGACTATTTCTTATAACTTTCTATGAATGGGATGGTCTCTTCACTATCCAAGTAGAAATGATAAAACAAATTTATATTTATTTACAAAATATTGCAATATTTTCGAACCAATTAATATTTATTATGAAAATACAATAAATAAAAAATATAATTATGTATATATTCAAGAAAAAAGATTACAGTTACTATCTTCATATTTTTCGAAATTGAATGAAAACATGTGATACAAAAGGACCATCTAAATTTAAATTTTTATAAAAATGAGCATTCCAATACAACTGTCAAAAATCACACATTTCCCTCCTACATCAAATATTTTGATATTCGTATACTTAAATAAATACTATACAAATTATTGGTCAACACAATTCAAATAGCTCACGTGAGTCTGTTACCCCAAAATTATTTACAGCTATCCAGATCTCCCAAATCACTCTCTAACTTTATCTACGAATACTCGTCCTGATCATCACTGGGAAGTGTAGAGAGCTGTGCTTGCTGCGCCGCGGCCTGAAGCTGTTCCCACTGCTGTTGGTCGGCATAAGCCTATAATTAAAAGTTAAATGTTAATAGTTATATTTTGAGTTGTTAAAGTTTAACCAGAACATTGAAAACATTGAATGTAGATAGACCAACTAAGACAGATTTCCTTGAAAAACTAATTTAAAGAAAAGAAATATTTATTCCATCGGCTTTTCAGCTTTCTCTTTTCCTTCTTACATTAACAATATAGGAAATGGTCTTCACAAGGCCTTAAATGAATTTGTTATCATTAACAATTACTTTTTTTTCTAAATGAACTTATAGTTTTATTGAAACAATAAATTTTTTTTATAGCAAGAATCATATTTTGATTAATAAAAAAGAAGTGTAGTTTAGTGTAGAATTCACAATTATAAGAACTTGTGAACTAGCCCCAAAGTCAAAAACTTATACAGGGCGTTCCAATGAAAACTTGACCCCCCTGTAAGTCAGAAAAAGATGTGTAATCGAAAATTTCAAAGAACACGTCAATTTTTATATAATCGATATGGTTCCCATTCTACAAGGTGTTTCAAAAAGTGAGTCTGATTGTTGCAACAATTTTTTTCTCGAAATCTGTATGGGTGACAAGAAAACGGTTTCCACTATATCGATCTACTCAAGATTCTATAAGAGTTGTGTGATTTTCATGAACGCACATCTTCTGGTTCCAATTCTACAAGGAATCTCAAAAAATGAGTCTGATTGGTGCAACAATTTTTTTATTGAAATCTGTATGGGTGACAAGAAAACGGTTCTCACTACATCGATCTACCCAAGATTCTATAAGAGTTGTGTGATTTTAATGAATACAAGGAATCTCAAAAAATGAGTCTGATTGTTTCAACAATTTCTTTTTCAAAATCTGTTTAGATGACAAGAAAACTGTCATCACCAAGTTAATCTACTCAAGAAACTATGGAAGTTGTGTGATTTTGATGGACGCACATCATCGTATATCATTTCTATATGGGGTATTGGAAAGTAAGTCTAATATTTCCAATTTTATTTTTCCCTAAATTTGCGTCAATCTACTCAAGATTCTATAAAAAAGTTACAACACCAAATAGTCTTAATAATTCCACGTTCAACCTATAGTGAATAGGTATTTCCAGCCACAGATATTAGTACGGGTGCTAATAATTTCGTATCCCAACCACAGATTTTTATTTTCCTCTACGTCAGCATGTGTGGCCAGAAATCTGTGGATAACTTCACGCCAATAATTTTTATTTCCAGAAGGACTAATTCTGATATGGAAATCATACCCGAAACTTCATCCCCCTGCGGTCATTATTGATACGTAGTTGCATTTACAGACTCATTATTTGTAAATTAATGCATAATCTAGCACTTTATTATGGAACAGCTTGCAGATGCATTACATTCCTGTTAGATTACTCTATACATCTAATTCGTCACCGACTATAATAGAATCAAATCAGACACCCTCCTGCACCATCAATCTATCACTCAAAAATGTTTAAAAAAATTTACCTGCTCTTGTCGTGCTTTTGCAAACAACTCCTGTTGTTGTCTCAGGAGCTCCTCTTCAGGTATACCGAGATTTTCCAGGCGGGTGCTTTGCCTCCTTCGTTTAGCTGCTACGGCTTTGCAATCTTTGAGGACAGCTTCTGCTTCTGCTGTATAATCACAAAAACCCAATCTGTTCAAAGCTGAAAAAATACAAGTTATACCAAAGAGTTGATAAAAATGGTCATATAGATCATAGATAGTAAATATCAAAGCAAATAATGTATTAATTATGCCTTGAACATCTAGTGACAATGTCTTGACTACTTACCCATTAAAACATGTTCAGCATTGATAGTTTTTTTATGAAGTTGGTTGCAAATTTCATTTGCCTCAGAACTCAGCAGGTGTATGAATTCTGTACAGCAATTCAAGATCAACTCTCGGGCTTCATTAGCTATTCTTACAGATGGTACCAATTCCTTTATCATTTTATTGATACTTGCACGAGGAAGAGTCAACTCATCATCTTCGGTATTACTCCCGCCCAAAGCACCAGCAGAATTGGAATTCGCCATGAATGATCGTGAATATATTAAAATTTCAAAATGAGGAAGTTAAGGCTTCAATATTAGTTTATATATTTTCAATTCAAAATAATTTTTCTTCAGCTATAGTACAGATGACATTTATGTCACAAGAAGTTTGACTAATGACAATAACCAATATTATTTACGAATTTTCATGCACCTATGAAAATTCCTTTGTCCATGGGAATTTTCAAGTATGCTCAAAATAAACTTATTTAAGGTTTGTTGTGGGTCTACGTGGTTCTACAAGTTTGTTCTGGTTCTACGAAATTCAGTAATTCAGGTTCTAGGACGTCAGGATCATGCGCAATTGATATAGAGCGTTATGGTTTATTGAGGATAAGTTCGGATTGATGAATCCTCTATTCTGGTTTCGACTGCGAAATGATCCTAAACTGTATTGAACGTCCCGAATCGTTCTTGCCGTCAAGGCTGAACTGTTGAGAACTGTTCCCGTTGCTTATGCGCATTCATGTGGAAATTTGTTTGGGTCTAGGACGTTTTTTTATTTATTTGATTTGAATAATTAATGATTGAGGTTATATAACATTTGAACTGACTATAAGGATACGCTACATAACAAAATGGACATGATCAATAGTATTTTCTCGTCTTCATCTCTTCATATATCTTCATATATACGATAGATGGCACAGTGGTCTCCTCAAAAGCGTTCTGGTTTAAACAAGTGTCCAAGACTATTTCGGACTGTTTGAGATTTTTTGCGTGTACGCATCATGTCTTGCACTGTTACCAAACAGTTTCGGATGTTAGAACCAGAACAAACCTTCAGTGTTAGCACCTCAGAGTAACAAAAGACAATAGAGATGTCTTTTCCATCCTTTTCTTGAAGGCAGCATAACTATGTTTATTTACGGGAAGTTGGACCATAAAACAGTGGCGGTTGGTTTAGTTGATGTGGTATCACCGATTGAGTCTGACAACACTGTGGCGAACAGCCGAGTGACATTCTTCCGCGCGAACTCCGTGAACACAATCAGACGATCTAACACGTTGGTCCAAACAGGATTAGATCACTCGTTAATTAGTTGTAAACAGTTTATGAATACAGTTTTACTCACAGTATAATTCTGTATTAGTTACACCCACCCATCATAATACAGTTGATAATCGGAGGGTATTATATATTTATAAAATAAATCATTTCAGGTGAAAATGTATTCTGTTCAAATAGTTCCTACAAGAAATCTGATTTATTATTAATGATTATGAAAATGGGGCCAGTTTTTCTACCACTTATTAGATTTTTATTTATGTATGGCTTTATAATAAAGCGCGTGGTTTACCTCCCTGAATTTTATTGACGGGTGAATGGAGTTGAGATATTCGACAAACTTTCACCTAATTGTCTAGCTGTACCAGTAAATCAGACTGAGATATCATCTACGTATCTATAGATCAGTACAAGCAACTGTTAATTAACTGATTACTATGGATTTCATTTTCTAGGTTATCCATGAAAATTTCAGCCAGCAGAGGACTCAACGGGTTACGATTATGAGTCCTTCGCTGCATGATCAAAACTTTTCGTCGAATGGGAAATATTTTTGAAATAGACAAATATTTGGGTAAATCTATAACATGCTTTTTTATTCCTGTACAAACAGCATATGACGTGAATACCATATGCTATTCACCACATCCAGGTACCTTATATACAAAATAAAAACATTTATCGAGTTTGATAATGGTTTTTTCTGAATATATCAAAGATACTACTGAAATAGACTTTTGATTATGATACATTTTGTGAAAGAAGAACAACGATGTTGACAAACTTTTTGGAATAATCAAGATAATAGCATTAAATTTCACAAAACAATATCTATTAGGAAAACATATTAAATACTCTGATATATCCTTGTCATGAAATAATCTTTGTGTTCCGTGAGTGAATTTATCGCATTATCGGGAAAAATTACAACGATTCGATAGTTGATCACCGTCAATAATAATTTCAGTATGTCCATCAATCAAAAATCTGTCAATCTTGGGCATTATATTTTTCATTATTCATTCTCGTCTTCCGTTATCGAAATATTTTGATGGATTTTTCCCATCAATTAAAAAAATATATTCAGCTAACCTTTCTTCTAAAAAATTATGTTTACGCCAATCAAAAGTCTTTCGAATCTTCTGATGACAGAGACATGGAAATCCAGCTTAATCTGCCAAGTTGTCAGAAGCTCTGATAAAGTACTGCCCGCTCGATCGGGCCGTAAGTTAACAAGAATGCATCTATAATAACATAACTTGGGACGAAACATGCAGCACGGAAATCACTTTAAAATGGTATAACGTATAACTAAATCTATAGACAATGGTATATCCTAAAGGTATAACTTTTGTATATAGACTATATAGTATTAGTCTATATACAATGGTATAACCTTAACCAATGCACTGAGATGAAAACATGTACCATAAAAATATGGCTTTCTACCGCAAGATGGCGGTGCCAACTCTAGGAAAATGAAAAATATTTCAGAATGGCAATTAGTAAAAAAAAAATCCAAATATTGGGTTTGATGACTTGATAAGAGATTCTCAAACAGACTATTATTGTGCCGTTACTATTTAGTAGGAGATCATCATGAAGAATGATGAAATAAAACTTCCTATGTTTTTATACCACTCGTTATTTATAATTAATGTTAATGCAGTTTCGTCCTATTAGGACATTCGTTTGAAAATTTCCTTATAGAGTAACGTTCATTACAAATACCAGAGGTATGAAAATATAGGGAGTTTTATTTATTTTTCATAGTATTGTGAAATTATTGGCGGAAATGATACGTTATTTGAAAGATAATGCTGGACCGATTTAATCGAAGGCGAAGCAGTTTCCAGGATTAATGTAATTTTTGTATGAGATAGATGATTTGGTGAAAAGTTTTTGTTCTCTACCTACAATTTTCTTCATTGAAGAATATATCCTCCTTGAATAAGAATAACTTGACATCTAAAACGAATTATATGGATAGATGGTGTGGTAGTTTATCAGTTGGTTAGTTTTGTTTCTATACTCAACTAATATTATGATGAGCCATCAATATTCAGTTAGGAGTTTACTTGAAATTAAATCATTAGTGTCAAAGTATTTTATAAAAACACAAATATAGATTTTCCAATCAATTTACAGATTCTGTATTTAGTTCCGGATGTTGAAGAAAGTTGTGCATGGATGCATTTTATAAAATACATATGAATCAAATTGACTCACTGAATAATACCTTTTGGCTTTATTGGTCGATAGGAGGAGCTGACTATTAGATTTCTGCTAAAGAATAGATATATGTATCAACAAATATTTGAATGTTTGTGACTATGGTTCCTTAAGCAATAATTAATGTTCGTTCTATTGAACCTAGAAAAGTCGTTCACTACATGATCCTCAAAATAACTCAACAGAAGTTCCAAGTCAGTCGACTCTGACAATCTGTCGTGAATGGTTGTAGTGTCCGCTAATAAATTCTAAAAGTGATAAAACTAAAAAAAAGTTGTGAAAAGTGTAGCAAGATCTCAACTTCAATTTATATCGGTGAGACTTTTTTCCTAAGCGAAAGATAAAGTGGTTTTTTCAGAGGGGTATGCCGAATATTATCGGCATATATTCCTGATATTACAATGAACTCCACTAACATACCGAGTGTTTCTGACTACAGGGACACTCAAAGTAATCAATCAAATGTTCAACCCAACTCATACTCTACTGCAGTCCAAAACTTTAAATTTCCATCCAGATAGCAAGCCATACTCTTCAATTCTATCGAAGGAGTTAAAATACAGGAGTACATCATCGCCATCGGAACCAAAAATCAGCCTAAAAATATAATTTTCTCCTCCAGGATCTCCAATAAAAGAGTTTGTATATACCTTTCCAGTCTTGCAGTTGTAGATACTTTCCTTCAACAAGGTGGAGAAATAATGGTGAACCAACAACTACTGAAAGCACGGAGATTAATAACACCCGCAACTCGTTTAATCCTATCAAATGTATGCTCGTCAATTCCCCACATCATAATTGAAAATAGCCTTAAATATCTAGGTTTGAGCCTTATGTCCCCTATAACCTTTCTCAGAATCGGGATTTCACAACCAGAGTTCAGCCATATTCTTAGTTTCCGGAGGCAAGTCTAACGTTCAAAATGATACCTCTACCTTCCCAGAATCAATTGTTATTCCTTTCGAAAACACTCCATAACGTATCTTTCTATCCGAAGATAAGCTAACCTGCTTCAAATGTAAAAAAGATGGTCATGTAGCCGCCGCTTGCACGGAAAAAGTTAATGATACCCCTACCACCATTAGTCCCGAAAACCAATTGGAAAATGAACGTGTGGTCATTCCAACACAAATCACCAACCCAACACAAAAACGTTCAAGATCAGAGGTAACAAGCCCCACGTTATCAAACACCGACTCCAATCCACCTAAACAGCCCGAGTTTATCCAGCCGTTTTCACAAACACTTAAGAAACCGAAGAACACCTCATCAAACTCTATAGCTGCACACCTTTCTTCAGCGAAAAGGATATTTGACGATGAATCACCACCCTTTTCTCTAGACTTCAATGAAATAGTCAGTTTTTTGTAAAATACGTACGGGTCATCCGAGCCTCTCAGTATAGCACGTGAATATACTGACAACGTGCATTCTCTCATGGATATATTAACAAAAATATAGCCAGCTCTGACAGAACAAAGTATTAAGGCTCGTATCACAAAATTAAAAAGAGAGTTGATGAAACAACTGAATAATGAACTCGAAACAAACTCAAATATTTCCCTTTCTGAGAACGAAAGCGACTTCTCTCAAGAAACCTATTGAAGTTTCTAACCCCCCTTTTCTCAATTTTTTTTTCATTAACAGAATTCATTCTCCAATGGAACATAAATGGAGTATTTCTCTATCTGGAAATGATCCAACTTCTGATGAATAAGGAAAACCCCTTCGTAATATGTTTGCAGGAAACTAACTTCAAGACTGCACATACATACGAAATGAAATCTTACAACTCTCCATAAAATTATAGAAATAGCCCACTTAGAGCCTGCGGTGGAGTCACCATTTATACTAAAAAATCGATCGCTTCAAAAATGGTTTCAATAACGTCAGAACTCGAAGTTATGGCAGTTCTTGTCACATTTCCGCGAAAATTATGCATCTGTAACGTATATATTCCACCGAATGTAGAGTTAACCTTTCGAGAACTTGTTACGATAATTCAACAGCTTCCAAAACCCTTCATTATTGTGGGAGATTTCAACGCCCACAATCCTCTACGGGGCTGCGCATCTTCTAACAAACGCGGAGTAGTCTTAGAGGAATACATCAACCTTTCCAACCTCGTTATATTAAACAATGGTGAATTTACGAGATTCAATAGCACATCTGGCAACCATTCCGTTATAGACTTAGCCTTTTGCACGCCAACTATTTCTACATCGCTCTCTTGGAAAGTATCATCACAAGTATACGATAGTGATCATTTTCCAATCTTGATTGAAACCAATGATAACTCATTTCAGACACCAATATATCATCCCACATGGAAACTCAAGAATGTACATCATGACAAATGGACTCACTATGAGAACCTCATTGACTCCAAGTTATCAGATATTTCTTCTACAAATTTTGATTATGACGTGAATACGCTGGTGGAGAAATTCACCAAAATTATAATCGAATTGGCATCCACTGCCATAGGTAAAAATTCACAATTAACACATAACTATCCAGTATCATGGTGGAACGACAAATGTCAGGCAGCAACAATTGACTGCAAACGTTCTTTCAACAGATTGAAACGACATTTCTCCCTTGGCAACAAAGTCGAATTCAATCGGCTCAGAGCTCGCCAACAATTTTTTCTAAAGCAAAGCAAACGATAATCTTGGAAAAATTATGTAAACACTTTGAACCAGCACATTTCAATAGCTGAAGTATGGGGAAAAATAAACAGGATCCGAAGGTCGAAAGGAAATCATCAAACATCAAATAGTCGCGAGATTGCTAACATTCTAGCTATTAAATTCCAGCGACAGTCTAGTGACGTCAACTACGATATTAACTTTTTAGAAAGAAGGGAAGTCATAGACTCCAATCATTTTGTAATTGAAGACGACGATGAAAATTTACTAAACATGGATATAACCATGGATGAACTCGAAGAGGCATTGTCTAAAGTGAAAGGCCACACACCGGGGCCAGATGACATCCCTTATATATTTATCACGAAACTGCCACAATCCGGCAAACTCCATCTCCTAGGGATTTACAACACTTTATACCGCACCAGACAACTTCCCACATCTTGGTCTAATTCTATTGTACTGCCTCTTCTGAAACAGAATGAATCTCCATCTGATCCCGACTCATATAGACCTATTTCCCTTATCTCCACCATGTGTGAGGTATTGGAGAAGATTTTGAACGCTAGACTACAGTTTTTTCTCGAGCAGAATAACCTGATAATTCCCCAACAAAGTGGATTTCGCAAAAACCGCTAAACAACAGACAATCTGGTTATCCTACAGTCAGCCATACACGAGTCCTTCGCAAATCGACACAATTATAGCCATCTTTTTCGATATTCGTCGAGCATTCAATACAGTTTGGAACCGCAACAAATCGGAACAGATGAAAAATTGGCATATCCAAGGAAATCTACTTGCTTTTATAGAAAATTTCTTGAAAAATAGATCCTTTTCTGTGAGAGCTAATGGCATAGACTCTGCGAAAAAGTACCTCAAAAACGGAACCCCTCAGGGATCATCACTCAGCGGCACCCTCTTCCTCATAGCCATCAACGACATCTTGAAGAATATCAAATCACCAGTCAAAGGGCTGCTATATGCGGATGACCTAGTCCTATTTGTCAGTGGCAGAAATATAAACACATTGGAGTCACTTCTTCAGGAGGCGATATCAAGTCTGGAATTATGGTCCCTCAATACAGGTTTCCAATTTTCTCCAGCGAAGACCAAATGCCTCCTATTTTCCAAACAGCAAGCAACTAATTTCCCAAACTTTACACTTAATGGACAGCAGTTAGAATTCGTTGAGGAAACAAAGTTTCTTGGGATGACGTTTGACTACAAACTGAATTGGAACGCCCATATTCGCAATGTTAAGAAATCTTGTCAAAATGGTTTGAATCTAATGAAGGTCTTGTGTCAAATCACACCTGAGGAGTGGACTGCAATACTTTGTTAACCATCTATCGGGCGCTAATAAGATTTAAAATAGACTATGGATGTATTGCCTACTCTACTGCAAATAAGTCAGCTCTTAAACAGCTGGATGTCACTCAACGTGCCGCCATTAGGATAGCCTTAAGAGCATACCGTAGTAGTCCAGTAGAAAGTTTACTTATCGAAGCAGGAGAACAGCCTCTAGATCTTCGCCGTGAATACATGAATGACCATGATGTATGCTGCAAGAATTTCTGATAATATAAACAACCCCGCCTATCACTATACCTTCAGTAACAGATTTCCCCTTCTTTTCAATCAAAGTAATAAAGGTGCTTTACCACTCTACACAAAAATGTCAAAAATTCCTAATAATCCTGTAGTCCCTAATAATGTCATGTCACTTGGTTTCTGCTCTCCACCACCATGGACCATAAAGATCCCATCCTGTAACACCAACTCTCCACCCACAGGAAAAAAGATTTCACACCAAGTTTTATCCAAAAAACTTTCTCTGAAATAATCTCCAACTACAAGGAATACAATCACTTATACACAGATGCTTCGAAATCTTCTGATTGTGTGGGAGCAGCCGTCATTACAAGAGATACGGAGCTTGCCTACCGTCTGTAGTGTTTATACAGGTGAATTATACGTCATAGATCAAACCGTAGCACACTGTGAAAAACTGGAAGGCAACTCTGTTATTATAACCGATTCTCTCAGTGCAATTCATGGAATCAGACAGTTATACCCAAGCAATTCACTACTTGTCCGTGTAAAGGAAAGGATATCCAAGCTAATGCGGAATCAACAATGTATTAAACTAATCTGGATACCTTCCCATACTGAAATCAGAGGTAATGAGAAAGCCGATGCAGTCGCTCGCAATGTTACAGTTACTCCTTCCGCAACACTGTTTGAACAAATTTCCCACTCAGATTACTTTAAAATCATAAAGAAACTAATAGCAAACACTTGGAAAGAAAGATGGATGGCCATGGAATCAAATAAATTACGCTTCCAGAACTACCAATCAGCCCAACGAAGACATCAAGTCATTCTTACTCGCCTTAGAATCGGACACACAAGACTAACACACCAACACCTTATGAAGAAAGAATATGCTGCGGAGTGTGATATTTGTGGTGTTATCAACAGTGTGAAACACATTATCCTGGAGTGCCCAGTTATTGAATATGAAAGACAAAAAGCAAGCCTTCCCAATAATCTCAATTCGGCCCTAGACGTGGTGAACTTGAACTCTTAAAAAAAAAGAGGTTCCAAGAATGAAATAAGAGCTGGTGGAGTAGAGAGTACAATCACTTTGTTGACAGTAAACTTTGGTATCGTTACAGAATCATTACTTGAAAATAATAATCAAGCAGTATTTTGTCTCCATATGTGTATGGCCTTTCACGGGAGGAATTATGATTAGAGAGGATGAAATCTGGGCTGATAGGCTGCGGTCAAATAGAACGTGTAGTACCAAACGATTCTTCCGCTACTGCTGCCAACATTTTCAGAGGTATATGCGTTGACTGTGACGACGAAGATAGTATCGGAAAGTCTAAGTCAATCGTTGCTGAAACTTCAAGATACTATATTCTCGCAGTCAACACATACCACTGAAGATGCCTGCTGCAGTGGCTGAAGAAGCCTTTACTACTACAAATTCCATTCGATTACTGCTTACATCTCGGAATCTGTTCTCTCTTTTAGTATTGTCCGTAACCATTTAGCTAAGTAGTTACTTATTTGCAACAGTTTATGAACCAAATCGATTAAAGTTATCTGCAATATTGCATTAGCCACCTACCACACTGTTAAATGAAGAAAAGTGTAAACATTCTTTGAAAGACATTTTTTGTGAAGCACTCAATACTTCTCACTGTTTTTGGGTATATAACCCTCCACAATTTGGAAAATAAACAAAGCTAAATCAACAAAGAATCTGCTGAAGTGTTATAAAGGGCAAACTGAAAAGTTTACCTGAAAAGTTACTGCGTAATATAAATCACTGAAGAGTCCAATTAGTCCAATTGTCGTATTCATAAATTGTGCCTACAAATTGAAAAAAAACAATACTTAGCTTCCTTTAATGGTTGACTTATGTGTCATTTATAAAAGTAAAACTACAAAATCAATATACGTCGTTTATTATATAGATGTAGGCAGATATACACCAAACACGATTTCTTATAATATACAATGTGACTTATGAAATTACATGACTCTTTGGTTTTCAAACACACCTACAATACATTACAAGATTTAATTAACATTGCACGTTTTGAATTAAATACAAATTCGCTTATTATTAATATATACACATGAAAGTATCCTTTAGTACTTACAAATAATCTTTGGATGACAAATAACTAAAAACTAGTAAGACATGTTACTACCATTATCTTCAATTCAAAAAATTGAAGGAAAGCTCACCTCCTGGTAATAGATTAATTTAGGATACGAATATTTCAATTTCAATAATTATTCTACAGAACATTCATTTCCTGAATAAAACATAAGAACACAGACGAAACATAGTATACTTTGTCATATAATATGTGCTGAAAGCTGCTGATGTTTTTCACACATATGTCAATAACTTTTACATAGAAAAACATTGTTACACACAACTCTTTGGCTTCGAACAAAAACGGAGAACAATCTAGAATCTAGATCAGAGGCTCCCAAACTTTTTCCATCATAGACCACTTTCAAAATTTAGCTGGTTCTGGACGCCCTGCAGCTACATTTCTACCATATTCCCAAACCTCGATAAAAAAATGTGAAGATTAGATCTAACTCGAGCCTACATTCCAACCACGAATCAACATTTGTTGAATGAAAAGTGAAAATTGATCGGGTAATTAATCAATTGATTGTGCTGTGAGTGGTTTCACACTGATTTTATTTAGAAAATTCCCCGTTCGGTGTGGTGAAAATAAAAAGGAAAGTAGTATATTTTATTGTGTTGTTTTTTCAAATACTCATGTAATTATTACACTATGACTCAGTCGTAATGTAATCAAAATCAAACACTGATAATGTAACTTCTACTTTACAATGACAATCACGAAATAGTCATAATTTTAATGAAAATGATGTACTTGATGGATTGACAGCAAATTATCAATATTTGGTTACAGTTTTGTTAGGAGTCACCGCAAATATTTCCGTTCTGTGATATTAAAAGGTTTGTATCGACACTAAATTTTTTTCCGACAAGATATGACGAGGGAAATGCTATCAAAAGCTTTCTCGCAATTCCCCACAGTCCAGGATATTTTTCGGGTATTTCTGTCTGCAGCCAAAATGTTTGATACCCTCTTTTAAATTTCACCTTCAGCTCATCATTAGTGCTATGTTCGAGTAGCTTCTCTTGTGATATCTCATTCTCGACACGTTGCACTGAATATGAAATTTGGAAGTTTTTACATGTAACAATGGCTGAGCTTTTAAAAATATTATCTGTCTACATTGATACCGAAACCACATAAATTTTCGTGGACCCCCGCTTACGAATTGTGAACCCCCAGTTTTTGGTCACGCCAACCTAGACTCCCGCCGATTCTGTCGTGGACCCCCGAGGGTCCATCTGGACTACTTTGGGAGTCGCTGATCTAGATGCTCACTATTGTGTGTTTTTTTTCTAATTTTGAAATAGCAATACAAACTGTAGTTCAAAAATTGAATTAGCATTCTATCACATCCAAAAATCAACTGTACAACACACAACACAACAATTATATACAATTTTTACAAGGAGAAATCTTTTTCAAAACAATATATTACCCAATATCATTATATATAAAAGTAATTCTCATAGTCCGAATATGAAGACTGCCCATTATTACTTTTAGATAGTTGAGAACTACTGCCCCATATTTTAAGGTTACTGTTTGTATTTTTCATGACAAAGTTATCTTTCTGTTTTGGTGAACTTTCTGTCTCTTTTTTGGGCGGACTCTGCTTAGGAGATTCTTCTTTTTTCTTTTCAACCAGGAGAGAGGTTTGAGATTTTGACAAAAGCGCTAGCGTATTTTTATTGTTTCCTGTTTGCTGCTGCGAAGTTCGGAAGGTTCTTGATGCTGGAAGAGGGGGCAGATCGGAAACCCAAAAAATCTGAAACAATTGAAAATAACCAAAATAATTATTATATTATGAAAAAACTTCTCTATGTAATATAATTGGATGGTTAACTAAGGTGAATTTTTCTCCATTATCACAAAGTCTCCTTAAAAAAAAATCTTTGCTTTTAACGCCAAATATGCTCTGCAAGTAATCTCCAATGAATTTAGTTTTAATAAGCATGAAGTACCCACATCAAAATGCTAGAATAGAAAAATAGACCATACTTCAACATAAGCTGTACAAATGCCGTCACCTGCTTCCTGCTTAGAAACTAACATCTATACAAAGAGCTTTGCAGCAATGAAATGGTGCTAAAATAAAAACCAAGACCGTCAGTTCACCCTGTGAAAAGAAAATTTCATAAATAGGGATTTTTAGTCCTTATCAAAGAAGATAGGAAGAAGTCATCAGGTTTCTCTCCAACAGAATCCTGTCCTTCATGGTTATCCTTACAACAGTGATTACGAGTATCTGCAGATAGTGCAAGAACCGAAGATGTGAAGTGTGGTTGAAGACTTGCAGCACAACGGCCAAGCTTTGACAGAAGAGGAGGAGAGATTTCGAAATGAGGCTGAACTGAGCCCTCCAGCTGAAACCGCTCAGTCCCCAAAAAAACAATTTCCAACAAAGTTGGAGTAAGGAACCCTATCCATGTATCAAATCGTGGGCAAGTCTGTTCGATTCGAACGACAATTTAGTCTGGATCCGTCAACGACAAAGTCGTTTCTGACCAGGCCGCCGAAAACGAGTCCAATAACAATCTATACATGTGCCCCTCAAGCAATCCAGAAGGTCTAATCAGTTTGTGGATCCTGAATGTTACACGATCCACGGTGAGGCAGTGAGTTGAAGCTAAAGGGTATGCTTAATCAAAGCAATTACTGCTACATCAATTAGACTTTGCAAGCCCTGATCGCATATCCACCTATTTACAACTTTCTGAACAGCCCGAGCAAAAACATCTCGGCAAACGAGAGAAGAAAGTCCACCCCTGTTATATCCACCCCGGTTTTATCCACTATCCTGTGGATAGTGGAACAGTCCACTATCCTGTGGACTGTGAAATGTCAAGAACGACCAAGCAGGCATCATTAGGACCGACGTAGATTTATAAAATGTTTCAAAACATGCGGACGGCCTGGATCGTGAAATAATTTATAGGCCCTTTGGAACGAGCAAAGATTAAAGCAATGAGTGGAAGGTAATGAAATCGGAAAATGAAGAATATTTTACCAAAAAACAGACTTTACCAGTACACCAATGGGGGAGATCACATTACTGATAATATCCAGTCTTTCATGCTGCCACTCAGTATTGAGGAAGTAAAAACTGTCAAGGAAGAGCTTGAGGTACTCGTCTCCAAGAACAGATTACAGGGGCTGACTTCGTCAAAAACTGACGACCTGGTCGAAGCGTGGAAGCATCTAACATCCCGTTATTCTCATATTGCATCTAAAGTTTATCGATTATAGCCACGATGGTTGCACGAAGAGACTTTAGAGTTTGGATTCGTCTTGAAAATTGATTCGAAACTGATATCGCCGAAAATACAGTCTCCAAAACAGAATCAGTGAAAGGTACAAACTATTCTCCGTGGTGTACCACGATGGCAAAGAGGCCAATAAGGAATAATATGTGACCGATACCTTTCACGTCGGATACAACTGCTGGCTGAGGTACGACAATTCCTCGGACAAGATGGCGCAAGAAGAACACGTGGGCGCCCAGGAAGAACATGTGGGCACGCGAGTTCCTTATGTGATGTTCTTCAGACGCAACGATTGATACTAGAGATGAGAAGTTGATATAACTGAAGAACAAAAGTTATCCGACCGAAAAAATTCGCCAGATAATAACTATTTTAGTGATAATGAAAAACAAAGTTAAGCAATTCCTCGCGGACAAAAGTCCATTCAGAAAAGCCTCCAAAATAACACTTCAACTTCTAACTGTATTCAATTTTCTCAAAGTGGTGATTTTATTTAAAGTGGGTTGGTTATTTTCTGACACTCAAAAAGTATACCTACATCAATATAGTAAATGAAGGAAATATGGAGATAACCTGTTAAAAATGTTTCAATTAATTTGTTTTTCAGAGGTAAACTTACCTTTCTTCTTGACAGGGGTAGATAGTCTGGATTCCGTCTCATCAGGAAATGGCACAAGTGAGATGGTAGCCACGTTTGCTGCACATGCAGAGGTCTGTCGTCCGGGTGCAACTTTCTCTGCTGCTCCTTGTCTGTATTCACCTCGTAAAGAGAAAACTGTTCCACCCGTTCTTTGCTATTGTAGCAATTGAGTAGGAGAGCGATAACTTCGTCTACTGTCGTTCGAGCACTGATTAGAAGACTTTTGTATTGGGAGTTGCTGTTGAGGACGGAGTCATGGATTTTCACTAAACCTCCTCGTCTTGTCTGAAGAGAGAATCTGAAATGAAATAGAAAAATTGAATGAAGGATTAATAAAATGTAAGTTTTGAAAAAAAATCTGTTTAAAATCTGTATTTCCGTTAACCAGCTGTCGCACCCCTACGAACGACAACCCTCAGAAGTAGAAACTTGTGCCAGCTAAGGATTAACGAGGTCTTATTTTTTAACGTGTGATTCCTAACACGGGTACGATTTATAAATTATGTAATATAAGCAACTGATTTTATAAATTCACAACAAATTTTCTCTTTTTTGGAGGATGCCGATAAGAGCTTCTCGTTGAAAATATTTTTCATTAATATTCAATTTTTTAGTTTTCGCTGAATATATTCCTGAGTCATTTCAGCAACTGACTTGAATAAATTCACAACAAATTTTCTCTTTTTTGGAGGATGCTGATAAGAGCTTGTCGTTGAAAATATTTTTCATTAATATTCAATTTTTTAGTTTTCGCTGAATATATTCCTGAGTCATTTCATTCAACTGTAACCTTTGCTGAACAATAAATTTTAAAACTGACATGGCAGTCATCTTATTTTCCAACATTTTATTTTTTCACTCAAACCCTTATAGAACTAAGTCCACCATAGGAGACCTCTATATCAAATTCAGAATATGATATTTCATATTCTTTTCAGCAATTCCTTTCATTTGATATCCATATTGTCGTCCATTTTGAGTCGTCCACCACGTTGGATTTAGAGTGATATAATTTTATTTTTCGTATTTTTTCAGCAAACCCTTTAGAGCTACATTATTCAATGTATATTCAAAGAATATTGTACTTCTAATTTTAGCGAACGTAATGAATTGACACTTGTCGATGTTTACCTCTTACAAATCATTTCTATACCATATGGAAAAAGCTTCGAGATTTTTTTGAACTAATTCAGCATCTTCCCGGCCAGTAATTGCTCGATAAAGTTTGAGTGAATTGACTTAATACCATGTGTATGATGTATATTTTTCGAACTATACAATGGTATAGTACACAATGTCTCAGTCCCATAAATAACGAATATAAGGCATAGAAAAATAAAACCATGTCCGTTTTCATCAGAGGTAAAAGGCTCCAAGAGGACTTGGTTTTGTATACCTCAAAAAATGTAAGAAATATAGAACACCATGTGGAAATTATACCTGCAATTTCGCAAAGAAAATAACATGCTTGAAGGACTTACTGCTCCAAAACGGAAATACGATAAAAACTTCAAACTGTCTTTTGAACCATCAGAGGTAGACACATGTGACTCGTTACAGGATAGATTTCCAGATAGCTATTTGGAGCAAGCAGAGTGAAACAGCTTAAATGCTGAATACGAGGGACACCTTTCCGAAGCAAATAAAAGGTACACTCTAAAAAGTGATGATACGAAAATCGCTGAAACAAACCCTAACCACAAAGTTTTAACTGACGACCTGCAAAAGTGTTTGCTTACACCTTTGCTGACGAATGGTTTAAGTTTTTATGAATGGAAACTTTAGACTCTAAATTATACACTTTTTGATTAATCTGATAAGAGTGTACATTGCATGATGTGGAACGAGTCGAAAACTGGTAGAGGTGGAAATGAAATCTCTTCAGCTACTTTGAAATGAGCTGACGGTGTAATTCCTACTTCTAAAAATGAAGAAATAACTCGTTGGACAACTATTCTTTTTTAATTATTCTTTTTTACTTGTTTCAGGGATTTCAAATCATTTTATATAGTAGACAATGGAAGTCCGAACTAGTGAAATGAAGTTCCTGTTCACGGGTCAACTGAAAAGAAATTCTTCAACCTCAGCAATCTGACAATCCTCACTACCTGGGGATGCTCAACTGAAAAATAGTTGCTTGCCTTTGTAATTTTATGCTCTGATGATAAATTGTCAAATCAAGTTTTTTGTCGATTTCGTTGTCTTATTCTGCAACAGTGGTAACATTTACAAAATGGACTAGGGATCAAAGCTAGATTTGCTTTTCATATGAGCCAAAATTTCCCGTATAATACGAATTTCACTGGTTATAATGTATACCATACCGGTTGTTTAAAAAAATCATATGGTGGATATATTTTTTGTGTAGTATCCTCAGATCGCTTAGGACATTTCCGCTTCGCATTTTTCTCGTTCTAGGTGTTACGTTTTCGTTCTTAGAATAATCAAGAACCGCAATTTGATTACATTTACTTACTTCGAATCTCCTTTCGGGTGACAGCTCTGCAACACAGCAGGTCTGGCCTCTTCATCCAGCGCCAAATGGGTTCGCACCCCAGCTTTCCGAACAGTCACCTCCATCGAGAGATAAAACAGCTTCGGATCTCTGTGCTTCATTTTGTATTTCCCCAACAGCGTTCCTACAACTTCTTTGCATGTTGTCTGGAAGGTTATGCTGAGGGTTTTGTATTCGATATCAGGTCGTAGGCATCTGGCATATACCTTGATGGTCGTCTGTAACAAAAATAATCGTTTGACAATAGGCCCATTTTACTTTTTGGATTTCATTCCAGAAAAGAAATCGGTACGTAATCTAAAGGATATTGGTGAAAAAAAAATCAGATTAAATTCGATACTTCAGAAAGATGCCGTTCATATCTCGTTACTTTACAGTAGCTTTCGACAAAGGCGGGGTTTCAAAGTGATATTGGTTGACGCTATTGATTCGAAATTTTTGTGGCAAGCACTATTAAAAAATATGAAAAGAAACAAAATTAAATCTGACCGATTTTTTTCGAATATAAAAAACCGTTTCTAATACTAATTTTCAAAGGATTCCTGTGGAAAATGAAGTTATTGTGGTATATTTTATCACGAAATTGGTTAACAAAACATCATCAAAGAGTTGTTCATTCAGACTGCAAGGTTTTCAAGGTTTTCAACAAACAATCGTTTAAAATTTTTTGTTTTTATATTTTCAACATATGATTAGATCAATCAATACATTTTTCAAACTTTGTGACCGTTATCATATAACTTTTCTGCAGATTGGTGATCCTTTATTCACATTTAACCCGCCTATGATTATTCCGATATAAAAAAAATGAAGCGATTTTGTGTTGTTTTCTTCAAAAACGAAAGTTTTGACGGAAACCAATTCAGTAGTAGTTGATTCCTAACTGAAGTTTTGCCTAGCGAATTGTTTCGTTGGTTAATTACCTAAAAGGGATTTTGAAATTTTCGGCTGAGTGTGGTTTCTTTTTGATATTGTGTGCTTTAGGGCATTTTGTAGTAGTATTGAAAACCATAGCTGCAAACCCACGATTTAGTGCACACCGCTGACCTAGTCGGGTTTGTTAGTGCTGTTTTTATTTGGCAACCCTATTGTAATTTTTCTATATCTTGAACAGAAAGCCCACGTAGCAACTATGTCTAATATTTTGCTGAAAACTAGAGACATTTTGTTGAAATCTTGAGGAGAATCAAACGTCAACTTCCACCTTTACGCTGACGTTCCAGTTAAAAAACTAGTTTAGATAATCGGGAAAGAAGAGACATCTTCAAAACATGAAAAGGATTTTCCCCATATATGAGAATAAAGAAGAAATATTTACTTTAATGGTAATGGAATTACAGCTATATAAAGGGCCTTTTGTTCACCTAATTCACTTTTAATAATAGACTACCAAGACTCAACACCATTGAACAATAAGAAGTACGATTGACTGAAAGTTTGATGTTGAAACTAGATGCTAGAATCAGATGACTTGCATATTTACTCAATTCGTGAGACCAACTACAAAATTCATATTTCTTAATATGCTGAAATGGGAGATTTATATACCCACTCAATAAGGCTTCAAATATAATTAGGAAATAATTGTAGTAAGTGAGAATCTGCACCATAACCAAGAGTCTCAAAAACAAAACCACATCAGGAGATTTCTTCAACAAAAGTCATAGGAAGGTACATTGGTCCGAATAATCGACTCTTAAGAAACGTACGGAAACCGCTGATACGATGAATAGACAAGAAGTAGTTTCGACCATGACAATATTACAGCAGCGCACACGAATATCACTGAATCCTAAACAATTTCATATCTTCCAAGAACAGTTATCAACACAAAAAAGTTAAGAAGTAACTTGACTTGTTGAATAATGCGATGCAGTATGACTTCTCAAGACTTAAACTATGACGATGTCCCTTTCTATTTTCAACCAGATAGGTATGAGATGTTGATGGCTGTCTCAATTTGTCGAGGAATATCGTCCGGATTTTGCCTTGCGAATGTTTTTCTTTCTTAGTGCTCTAGTTGTTTCAACAACATTTCTCTGTCTTTTCTTCTGCTATCCTAGTTGCTCTATACTTTTGTTTCCTTATTCCACATTTTCTTTGTACGTTGCGATTTCTTGTTGCTTATTTGTTTTAGTAACTTCTTTGGTACACTTTTTCTTGTTCTGCTATATATTTCAGTTAATAACTTTGATCTTCTTCCATTAATTTCAAGAACTTGAGAATATATGCAAACGCCAATATCTTGTTGTGATTACAACAAGTACATTCATCATACAGTTTAAATTTTCTTGAATTTTCATTTTTCAGTACCACTTGTATTTCTCTGGTTGCTTTAGTAAGTGGCACACTTGACAAATCAATGCTAAAGTAAACGTTACTATCTCTGAAGAAACATCCTATATCCTAGTTGTTTTCAGGATACGCGTGTCTATAATTTCATTGTATCGGATTTCCTCGTGGAATTTAAACATGACAAAAATTGTTATTTCATTGATAACGCTTGTAAATGATGAAAGGGGGTGTGAATTCAACAATACGATATATTTAAGATATCGGCATCTGAACTGATATGATAATTATAGTACGAGGAACGATAAAATAAAAACTGAATTGACAGAACCCAGTTTTGTGTTATGTGTTGATAAAATGGTTTGTTTAATTCTGTCTATATACCACTGCACTGCTTAAATGACGCTTTCATAGATTCAGGAAATGATTTATCGATATGCAATCAAAAATCCTCATGTTTTTGGATGATGTTCTGGAAACACACTGTATTAAAAGTAAAAGTAACTGAGAGTAGGCTACAAAAAGGAATTTATGGTAAAGACTTTTGATGTTTATCGTAAAGATACTGAAACTCGTGGTGATTAATTTTTATTGAAAATCTCAAACCACTGCTTACACTATATTTCATGGAACTGTTTTTGTTTATAACTTTTTTCAAAATAACAAATCAGGTGATTAGCACCAGCTGTCAAATTTTATTAATTTTACAATAAATAATCCAAAAATATCAAAAAATTTTACTGTTATTCTGTAGGAAATAAAGTGCTACCTAATTTACTCTATACTAAAACCAATAATGATTGAGAGTAGAAGTAAGCCCAGTTGACAGCAAATCGGGGGCGTGCTTAATAATTTTTGAGAGGGTTGAGAATGANTAGTTTCTTCTCCATGCTATTATTTCTTGACGTTCAATGAGAATTCTTTCATCAATAACGCTGCCTAATCCTTTGAAGTTGTAATAATTCACTACATATAGTTATAGTTCGCGATGGAATATGTCTTTTAAGGATGGCACACTAAACTCATTTTAATGTTTATAAAAATGATCATATATAAATCCATAATTGAAAAGGCACTAAGACGGATATGATATTATTCCTCACGAAATTAAATACATTGTTTACCTGAAGCATGTCATGCATATTATAATTGCCCTTTATACCAAACAATAATTCAAATTAATATCTTAGGTGTTATCCCGCGGCAAATTAAATTCAACCCGCCTCACAAAACGATGCAACCTGCATGGTGAAGAAAGGTTTCAGTTGCGCTACTTTAAAGGTTATGGTCGCTTCTAATTATGAAATAATTGGGATTAACAATAAAAGACCTAAAACTATTTTCATAAAAATATAACTTTCACAACCGGATGTAACTGTGTCACAGTTATTTTTCAGATTTTTTGGCCTTGGCCTACAGGTTTTTCATGGCTGACGTTTCGTCTTCGTCTGCGGTAAAAATTATCAAAGACGATGAGGCAACGGAAGAAGAGCTCCCGTTGTCCCCACAACAGATACTGGTGAATAATATCAATCCAAACAACTTTCTCACACAATTTTTTTCTGTTTTTGCTAATATAATCGTGTATTATACTTTCGCACCGCTTGCCAATATTTGGCTCCTCTGTATGATGAAATGTTGTTTTCTCAATTTGCTGTGTGTTATCTTAATTTGGGACGATGCAGACATTTTTTTGAATACCTAGTGAAATTTTCGGACAAATCAAAAATTAAAAATAAAATCATTTGCAGAAAACAATTTGAGAAGACCATTCATTCATATTCGAGTAAATGATGTCAATCTGAACAACATTTCCAAAAATGTTTTTCTATATTTGAAAATTTAAAGGTAGTTTACTTTTTTGACAAATCGGTAATGAAAAAGTATTTAATTTGTAGAAAACAATTCGAGAAATAGTGTATATCAATTCAGATTTGGGATAACAGGTTTCAGGCATAAAACAGGTGAGAAACTGAAACTTTTTAGAAATCATTCATGAAAAATTATCACATTATTTTGATCACTTATTTCCTTATTAGTAATTATAAATCCATTTTTTGATCAATATCAAATGACTCACATGAATATTTTCAGCAGGAACAACAAACCGCGAGCAGTTTCCAAATTTCGAAGCCGCGTACATGATTTTTATAACAACATCAACCCTTGGCGTTCATATTCTCCGAAAAACTGGCTTGAAACTATCATAGTGTCAAGAGAAACTGGTCTAGAATTAGATTCAAATCGACACCTAAAGCGTTCCGATGCATGCGTCTTCCTGTTCTTGTCATAATAATAAAAAAAGAAATTTTTATACTGAATGGCTTCTTAAGAACTATGACAAATGTTGAATGTGTGTGGCTATTTTGAAAGTGGGAATTGGATTATTAATTGGGTAGACTATAAAGTGAAATTATATTTTTGAAATAAGTATTTATTTTTCCTAGTTTCTTTTCGATTTTTTCACATATTTCATTCTATTTATATTTTGACTTCGGAAGCAGCTTAAAAAAGAATTGAATTATTCATCGACACATTATGAGGGTTTTCGAAAATTGAGTAAATACAATAAATATAATTATTCAACATGATTTTAAAATCAAATGTTATCATAGATCATCTAGAGTTCAATAAAAAGGATGATCATGAGAGTCATGCCAATGTAAAAGGGTTTTCACAGAAAAAATCTATGAAGCGTCAAAAATACATTCACGTGTATTCAGGGCCGTCGCCATGGGGATGTTCCCAGAAGTACTCGGCTTAATCTAGCGATGGCGGTAGTTGTTTGAAAAATATCATTGTTTCAGAAAGTACACAATATATCAAGCATATGTTTCAAGTTTGAAGACGCTGCGTTGTTCAGTATTTGTTAGGCATCCATCAATAGCGAACGTTTTCGGTGAATTTGTGAAAATGTTGAAAATTG